GCAAAATAGGGCCAGTGGGATGCTGCGCCTGCCGCCCCTCGGCCCCCTGAGGGAGGCCGTTCCTTATGTCCCTGACGGGAGGAGCCCAGTCCCAGGAGGGTGCCCGGCCGCTGCTGGCAACCCAGCCGGAAGGCCGGGCTGCAGCAATGTACATGCAGGGCAGCCCCCGAAGTGTGAGCCCCCGGGCGGGGGGAGGGCCAGAGGGGAGTGGTTCCTGCTGCTCCTGGGGCTGGTGAGGTGAATGAGTGACCTCGGGCAAGTGGCCTAGCCTCTCTGAACTGTTTCTCACCTGGAAAGTGGGACGGGGCTGCAGGAGTGAAGTCAGGGATGGGAGAGGACGTGGCGAAGGACCCGATGCTCCTCGCGTATGTGGCAATGCATTTAGGGCCCCCTTGTCCCCCACCCAGAGACACAGGCAGGTGGCGCGTGCCGGTGGGGGGAGGGGATAGGGGGAGGAGACACCCGCTCATTCAAGAGCAACCCGGGAGGACATTTCCTATCAGGGTACCCCCCGCCTGCCTGCCTGCGGGACTGGGGGCTCTGCAAAGGAGGGCCCCTCCCCTCACCCGGGTGAGCTAACCCCTGCAGTACCCGACACACCCTCCTCGGGCCTCTGTCTCCACATCAGCGCCCCCAGCCCCGCCCTGCTGTGCCTTTACTCTCCCGTCTGCTGGGTCTTCAAGACTCAGTTCCACGTGGATAGCTCCTCCCGAATGTCTCCGCTCTCCTCCTGCCCCGGGCCCAGTTGGTTGCTCCTCTGCCTGTGCCTCCCATTCACTCTTCAAATGTGGCATTTATCCACCCATCCATCTATCCACCCACCCACCCATCCATCTACCCACCCACCGTCCATCTGTCCATCACCCATCCATCACCATCTATACCAACTGCCTGTAGCAGCATCTCCGATCGTGTTGTTCGGAAGTTTTGGAGAAGTCTGGCTCTCCCTAGACCAGTGGTTCTTAATCTTTTGGGGGCCGGGCACCCTTCCCCCCAAAAAATGCCCAGGGCATGTACTTGCCAGATGTCCCCTCCCCCTCTTCAGGGGTCCCCGGTGGCCCCGGAAGCCAGGCTCGGACACCAGGTGTGGCAGAGGCTGTGATGAGCAGCTCACCTTCCCGTCTGGGAGCCGAAGGCTGATTCCCCAGCTGCGGGGGGTGGGGCTGGAGGACAGACGGCCCCTGGCTGTCAGGCCTCTTCGGAGATGCTCCGGGTTGGAAGAAAACAGCCTCGCCCGAAGTCACTCCTCCTTCCAGGGGTGGGCCCACTTTCAGGGACAGGTCAGTGAGGACATGCCCAGGCCCGAGCCTCCCACCCACCTCGGGACCCGTCTGAAGGGTCTCCTCACCTCGGGGCTCTCCTGGAGGTCCTGAGACCCCAGTAGGGACTCAGCTTCTCCCACAGCCTGCGTCCTTCTCCTGCCCCGCCACCCCATGTGTTTCCCCTAAGACCATTTTCTAAACAACATCTAATCTCCTCCCTGAGTCTACTTCCCAGGGAACCCACTGGCTTAAAAAAGGTCCTGCAGAAGTTCCTGGAGGACAGTGACAGCATCTTGATGACTTCCATTATCTCCAGCAGCTCCCACGGGGCAGGGCGCATCGTAGATGCACCCGGGAAATTCATCAAATGCATGTTAGTGCATCTTCTCCTGGTTCCCTGTTCCCTCGCTCTGTCGTCTGGCTAGAGAGTTCTCATCAGACATCCGGGGAAAGGGAGAGCCCCGCCGGCAGGAGGCCGGCAGGGGGCTGGCAGGAGGCTGGCAGGACCAAGGTTGTGGGTCTGTTTCTGGGAAATGAACTAGTTCCCAGTGAAACTGCAGATAACCATGGGAACAGAAGTTAAGGTAACCGGTTACTGCAGAGCCGGGGCAAAGGGCCCGGTGGATGTCAGGGCCCCGTGGTTAGGGTGAAGGCTCCGGGCGTGGCTGGCGGGCTGGCGGCCAGCGGGGACGGGTGGTGGTGGTGGTAGAAAATGCCTTCCTTGCCGGGCCGGCCATTCAGGTCAGGATGGTCGCCGAGATCTGGAAACCCCGACTGTAGTTCCCACTGTGGGAAGTTCCTTCACAGGACAAATGTCTAGTAAGTGCCTCTGCCGTGCCACCCACTGCAGTGAGGACGGTGACCCTGAAACGCCGGGACTCCAAGCCTTGTCTTCCTCTCACCGGCTGTGTCACCTGGGCAAGTCGTGACTCGTCCTCCTCGCTGACGTTTACCAGGGGGCTGTCCCTGCGTGCCCAGCACTGTGCTGCTGCTTTACAGGCACTGCTGCACCTCCACGGCAGCCTCACTAGGGGGCGTGTGTTACGGGCTCGGAGGGGGCCAGCCACGTGCCCAAGACACACGGCCGGTTACGGGGCGGCCGGGGTTGTGAACCCAAGTCCCGTGGAGTCCCCGAGACGGGCACTCAGCCACTGCCTCGCGCAGCCTCTGCGGGCTGTCCCCACGTCTATGCGATGGGGCAGTTACCTTCTACTGCTCTGGGGTTGGCGGGGCAGGTGGCCTGTGTGAGAGGCCCCAAGGGTGTCGGGGGACCGGTCCATTCTGGTCTTCTCCTGGTTTCCCTGGTCCCCTGCCCCAACACGCCCCTGCACTAGGAGGAAGGACGGCCTCTCCAAGGACAAGTGTCTCTGTCCCGAGTGCAGCATGATGCCCGGCATGGCCTCGGCGCCCACTGGATGCTGGCACCCCAAACGGATGAGCTGAGCCCCCACCCTCAGGTCTCTGCAGGTCGGGGACCCCGCTGAGCCCGCCCCCAGTCCCTGGTGCAGAAGGCTGCGCCAAGTACAAGGACCATTCTCTTGGTTCCATCAAGTCCACTCGCAAGCCCCTGGGATTTTCCTTTTTCTCTGAGCAGAACGGAGCAGAAACGGATGGAGGTGAGGCCTCGAGCCCTGGTGGCAGAGAAGGGCACCGGGACGAAGATGAAGGCATTCCTGGCCCTGCCTGCCGCCAAGGGTGCGTCCCACAGGCCAGCCGCGGCTTACTCTCGTCCCCACCGTGACCGCAACTGCAGGCATCCTCACATATTGGGGACAATCACCTTCCTTCCACGGGAGGCTCCCAGGAGAGTCGGTGGGCATGTAAGCACTTAAAACTCGAGCCTGCAGGTCAGCCCTCATCCCCTCCTCCCTCCTCTGCAGAAGCCCTGGAGCTGTAGGCTTCGTGGGGACAGACACCACAGCCTTGGAGAGACGAGTCACATTCTCAGCCTCCTGAAACCTGTGCAAGCACTGAGTTACCATGGCAACGCTGCAGCCCTCAGATGCAATGGCTGCAGACAACATAGGTGCTTCTAGGGCTCGAAGCTGAGGGTGAACATGGTCTGGCCTGGGAGGCCAGGCGATTGGGTGGGCGGGGAGGAGGAGCAGGGTAGGGAGCCCTCCTCTAGGATTGCTGGTAATTGCTGCTAAGTGAGGGGCTGTCACTGAGCCCAACGTGCAGGCTGTGGGGCCCTGGCTCTATACCCTGTAATTACTGCACCAGACAGCAGCTCTTGCTCCCTGTGTGGGAAGAGGGGGACAGTGGGAGAGGGGGAAGGAGGTGCAGACAGGAAGCTCGCATCCACCTGAGCCAAGGGGGCTCTGACAAGCTCTCCTGCAGCCCAAACACCCTCCATCCCAAACAGCGTCTCAGGCAGAGGCCGAGGTGAGGTCTTGGGCCCTCCTCTCTGCTGGCTCTCCCCATGTCATCTCACACAGAGCTCGAGCCTCCTTTAATCCTGGCCTCTGAGCTGGCTGAATCCAAGGGGGCCAGAGGTGCAGCACCCAGATAAGGCATCGCCTGGTTGTGGGAGTCTGTGCTGCGAAGCTGCACTCCTGGGCCAGGAGGCTCTGAGGAACTCAGGCCAGCCTCCTGCCCACCCCTGCCTCAGTGTCCCTAGCTGTAGGACTGGGAGCAGGACTCAACCGTCCTTAAGGTTCCTCCTGCAGCAGGGGCTGGCGAACTGTAGGCGACGAGCTTCAAACCCTGCTTCTGCCAGTCAGGTCTCACTGGGACGCAGCCACGCCTGTTAGTGTGCGTCCGCCTGCCGGTGGCGGCCTTCCTGCTGCGGCGGGCAGGCTGGAGAAGCTGCGGCAGAGGCCACACGGCCCCCAGATGGGACACATTTACTACCTGGCCCTTTACGAGAAGTTTGCCGGCCCTGTTCCTGAAACATGAGTGTTCTTTAGGCTTAAAAGTGAGCTTCCGTGGCTCCAATCTGATTAAAACAATTCATAACAAGGGCCGTCCAAGCCACCACCCACTGTCCCCTTCCCAGGAAGCCGTCTGGAGGGTTACCGGTGGTAGGCTGGGCAGTTCCGAGTCACCTCACGGTGCAATGGCGCCACCTGCTGTGAGTGCCTAAAAGCACTTCTGCTTGGGAGGATGTGACCCCCTGGCCCGAGGCCCCTCCCAGCCCAGAGGAACTGGGTCCCTGCCTCTTGGAAAGACTGCGGTCTAGAGGGGCAGTGTGACCAGTGCAGGGTAGGTGACTGCAGGAAAGCTGGGAGGCTGCAAACCCATCCACGTATGTTCGACAGCCACACAGAGCCGGCCGTGAACCCTAGGTCGGCCACTCATTTAGGGTCTTGGTTCCATGGGTGTTGAGAGCATTTTCAAAATAAACACTTATACGACATTTAAACTGTTTCCAATCTTCAGAACAACTCTGAGACAATTACTCTCCCCATTTCACAGACGACAAAGCTGGTACAGAGAGGTTCCACGATTTGGTTAAGATCACACAGCCAGTAAGTGACACAGGATTCAAGTCCAGGCTGTGAAAGCTTCCAGGTCCCCAGAACACGGGACTCACTGCACATTAATTGTTTTCCTGCCTGCAGGTGCGCCTGGGGCGCCAGGCAGGGTCCCGGGGCTCCACCAGGAGCTCAAGTGACGCGACGCGGAGGGCCTGGAGAGTGACCAGTCACCCGCAGGAGGCCCCAGGCCGAGAAGGGGGGCAGGCCGGGCCGGGACCGCCCCTCCCTGTGCCCACACCTGCAGGCAACACGAGGCGGCCAGAGGACCGAACACCCTTTATTTGCAACCCGTAACCAGGTCTGCTCTCCGGGGAAAGACTGTCGGGGCGAAAAGCCTCTCCATGTCCCCGTCCCAGCTGCTCCACAGTCCAAACCAGGCCCCTCGGAGAGGCCTCTGGAATCACGGTCCTGGCAGCCAGTTGAGAAAGAGCCCTCCCTCCGTCCGCTGCAACTCCGGCCCAGCACAGCCCAGCTCTGGGTGCTCGCTTGGCCGGTCTGACCAAGTCCCTGACCCAGGCCCGTGGCTCCAGTTGCTGCGAGGAGCCACCGGGGCCCTGAGCTGCCGCCTGGCACAAAGCGTGGGAGAGGCAGGTCGCCGCTATCCCTGGGCCACGAAGTACTCCTCCTCCTCCGCCACCTCGTTGCTGTCCTCCTCCAGCTGGCTGCTCCGAAGCAGCAGCTCCAGGTCGGGGCTGGAACCCAGCCCCTTGGGGGCTTTGGGGCCGCCATCCCCTGGGGATGAAGAGAGAACAGTTACAGACCCAGCACTGGCTTCCCGGTGTCTCCCGACGCCCTGTGTGCGCTTCGTCACCCGGGTCCCCGCCCGTGCTCCTCAGAGAGGACTCCAGCCATCCCCTCAGAGGAGTGGCGGCAGCAGGGCCACCAGGCACATCTCCTGAATTAGAGCACCAGCCAGCGCAGCGGCGGCTGAACCCTGCAGACTGAACTGCTGCGGGCAAGCTGAGGGCCTCCTGCCTCTCCCTGGCAGGGCTGGGATGTGAGTCAGAGGGGCGGAGAGGTCACAGGGAGGGGGTCACCAGAACAGGGTTCCGAAGGGGCCCCGGTCACCTCTGGAGGGCAGGGCCTTGAGGGCGACGTGCAGGGATATCCCCGAGAGGCACAGGGCGAAGCCCAGCCAGTTCAGGAGGCTGATCTGGTCCCCTAGCAGATGGGCCGCCAAGAGCAAAGTGCAGACTTCCTGCGGGCAGAGAAGCGGGAAGGGGAAGCGATCAGTCAGCCCCAGAGCCCGGAGGGCCGAGGCACCGAGCACACCCGTGGGAGGGGCCGGGCTCGCCCACACTCCCAGTCCAGGGCAGGCTGCCCTGCAGGGCAAAGCAGCAGCCTCCGCGGGGCTCCGGGGACCAGGCCAGTACTCGGGGCTGTCTGCCTGTTACTGAGAAGCAGCAGAGGAGGTGCTTTTCTCAGGGCTGTCAGGACAGACAAGCCGAGTGCAGCTGTGTTCCCGGAAAAAGGAGAGCCGCCCTTCCAGAAGGCACCCACAGGTGAGGGCCCTCAGCTGCCAAGGAGGGTGCAGCGTCATCCGGGCTCCACAGGACACTCACAGGTCCCAGGGCTCGCCGCACACGGTGGCTGCAAATGGCACCGTGACAGGACGCGCTCTGAGGACCACGGCGTGCGCCCGGTCATTTGGCCAGTAACAGAAGACCCGTGGGGAGCCCTGCATTTCTGCCGTCAGGCCCCATGGCTCCGGTGCCACAGAACAGACCCCTCCACAGCCTGAGGGGGAAGGAGGGAGGCGTGGTGGTGGGGGGAAGGGGGAAGGGGGGAGAGGGGAGGCCAGAGTGCTGCCGGGCGGTGGGAAGGGCGGGCTCGGCGAGCACAGGGCACTGGTGGCAGCACTGTCCCAGGCCGGGCTGCTGGCAGACGTCACCCGTCACTCAGAGAACGTGTCCTTGGAGAGTCTGGACTGGGGTGGGGATGCTTCTCAACCACCGCTGGCACTCCTCGTGGAATGCAAATGCGCCCCGAGCCTCGTGGGGTCAGACCGGCACCCCACCCCAGCTCGGCCACCCCACCGTTTCCTCGGGGAGCAGCAGCCCGCAGCAAGGACGGGAGGGGTGCGGACGGGCGCACGGCGCCCAGCGCCAGAGTGAGGTCCCTCCTCTGCAGGCCCTGGGCTGTGGGAGCTGGGACGGGAGCTGCTGGCGAGGGAGACCTTCGGGGGGCTCCCCTCTGAGACAGGACTGGGGTCACCTCTGCGTCTGTACCTTAAAAATGCCCGCGATGGAGAGAGTGAGGCTGGAGGTTCTGGACACCAGGAGGAACTCGGAGAAGCCCAAGCCGAAGGCGAGAACCCCGCCCAGGAAGAGGCTCCCGAGCACCCGCAGGAGCAGCCCGGCGTCCTGGAAACGGAAGACCTTCTCAGACGTGGACAAATGGAGACCTGCAGGCAACGGGGGAGAGAGGGGCGGCCACGTCCTGGGTGTGCCTGCCCGGGCGGCCTCACCCTGCCTGCACTCCCTGCAGCCGGTGGGACCTGCCACCTCGCCTGCGCCTGCGCAGGGCAGGCTCCCACGCAGACGGCCCCAGGCTGGGGAAGACCCGGGAAGCCGGGAAGGCTGCCAGAGAGCCCCGGGGCAGCAGGAGCGGAGATCCTCACGGGGAGTGACAGGGAGGGCTCTGGGAACCTGGGCTAAGTACAGGGACAGCGCCGCAGAGGAAATGCACTGGGGCGCCCTGCTCTTCCTTGAGGCGCTCCCCGCCCACCTGTGGAGGGGCGGGGAGGGGGGGCACTTCATGCTGAGGCTGTGGCAGCTAGCGGGCCAGAAAGAGGAGGGACAGCCCGTCGGGGGAGGGCTGTGGACGCCCTCCCTGCTCCACGGCGGGGAGCCCCTTGTTCTCAGTCTCAGGCGGGCCACCTGCAAACCGGGACAAAGCCCTGTCCTCACCACTCCTGGCCATTTCAATCCAGGCCTCACCATCACGTAGCCGTGGGACCTGGCCGAGACACACGCCCGGTTCCTGGAGCACATTTCCCCGCTAATAAAACGAAAGGGTTGGGACTAGACCAGGGCTTCTCAAACAGATGGTGTAATTTGACGAACAGTTCTCCAAAACCAAACAATGCATTATAAATAGACTACAAAAACCACGGCCCCTTCGTTCCAGAGACACCCACACAGGCATCCAGGCACTGAATCCTGCTCAGACTTCCGGGGGCTTCTGGTCCTCCAACGCTGTCCCTCTGAGAGGGCGACCCAGGGCCCCTCCCCGCAGGACAGGCCCCTCGGAGCAGGGTGTGAGCTGGGCCCAGAACTGGGCACAGAGGACACGCCTGTGGGAGCAGGAGGCTGGCCTGCGGCTTTGAGGGTTTTGGAGCGAAGCCGCAAAGACATGCAGAGTGACAGAGTCACCCCCCCCAGCCCCCCCCCCCCACAGGCACACAGCCTCGCAACGCAGGACGTCTCGTCTGGGGCTGCGCCCAGCAGCACTGCAGAGGCACGGGCAAATTGAAGGGAACTCGGGGAAAGCAACAGAAGTAATGAAGGCGCTTGGGGGATTAATTTACAGAAAAGATTAAAGGAGCTAAATCCATGCAGCTTTGCTAAGTGACAACGGCGACCGGGGGGGCTCTGGGAGGTGGGTTTGCGGAGACGGGGCGCGGCGTAAACACCCGGGGAGGGAGGGACGGCGCGGCGTTTGGCGCAGGGGGCGTCGTGAAGGGACGGGGAGAGGTTCTACAAAGGAAGAAAAATGAGGCGGCAGAACAGAAGTTTCCTGGACAACGGGGCTGCAGAATAATTTGCTCGAAGAGGTTCGAGACGCTTCACTGCTTGAAACTTAAATGGATGTAGGGCAGAGTTTTCTGTCATGACCCCGAGGACAGAAGGGACTCCGGGACACAGGGTAATCCCAAAACACGGAGGGAGGGTCCGCCACCGACACAGTGCTCCTGCCCGCCCCCCACGCTCCCCCTTTCCTCCCGGAGAAGACAGTGGAGGGGAATCATCCACTCACTCGCCCAGGCTCCTGTGCACCGGCCCTGGGCACCCTGCACCCCGCCCCCACCCACGCTCCGCCACCCCAGCACACACTCCTCTGAACCTCCTGTTCCCACTTCCGGGGACGCCCTGCGCCCACCGGCCTGTCGAAGTCCCAATCGCCCCCCCCAGACACCCTGTCGGGGAAGCCTCTTTGACTTAGCTTTCTGCCCTGCCAGGCCGAGACAGCTCAGCACCCCCTGCTCCGCCCAAGAGGCGGGAGGCAACCTGACGGCTAAAAGGAGGGGCTCTGGAGCCGGCTCCTGCACCCACTCCCAGGCTCATTTTCCAGCCCCGGGACCCGAGGCAAGGTTGTCGTTACTGCTCTCCGCCTCAGTTTCTTTCGCCTGCGAGATGGGGATGTTAATAGCACTGCCCCAGAGGGTTTGGGCAGCACTGAAAGAGTTAACTGTATGTAACATGATTAGAACAGCCCTGGTGTACCTTCAGGGCTGGGCACGTTCACGGTCACTGTTGCCTGCTGTACCTCGCACACTTTCTATGATACCATTTATGGAGCTGGACTCCGGCTGACTGGTGTGAGCATCTGCCCAGACCAGGCACGGCCAGGGACGGGCTGCACCTCTGCTCGAGGCACCCTCTGCAGCGGGCACAGTGCTGGGCTCAGAGCAGGGGCTGGGGGTCTGCGGCGCTGCGGTGCCCGGGCTGGGCGGCCCCACCTACCTTCGAAGATGGCAAAGAGAGGGAAGAGCCCAAGAAACATGAGCGGCTGCAGGTGGAACATGGTGTCAATGGGGTTCTGGAGCCCTGCAGAAGGGGGACACGGGTGAGCCACCAGCCGGGGTGGCCCGCCTCCACCCCGCCTGCCTGGCGCCCCGCCCCCTCTCACCAAGCTCCGCCTTCTGCAGGAGAATCTGGGTGAGGGTCCAGCGGATGCCGCCGATGAACGAGGCCCCCAGCACCAAGGCAAAGCCCTCCATGTTGAACTGCGTGGACTTGTAGGTGAACATGAAGAGGCCCCCCGCGATGAGGAGGACCACCAGGACCAGCGCCGCACGCTACCGGGATGGAGAGCAGGGGGCAACTAACTTGGGAGTCTGAGGTCATCACACCTGCAGTTTGGGGGCCGGCGGCCATCTCTGCTGTCCCTCCTCCCCCCACGGACAGCTCCTTCCCATGGACGTGTGCAGGGCCGATGCAGTGGGCACGTCCCCAGCACCCCTACCCGCCCTGAACTGCGGAAGTGCTTTGCAGGGCTGTCCTGGGCCCCCACATGGCCTCTCCCCTCCCCGGGACTAGGAAACAAAGGGTACCTACTGCCTCACACAGCAGGGGGCCTCTGACCCAGCTTGACCCCGACCCGGGCCCTCTTCCCTGAATCCCTCTGCCTTTGGTCATTACCCGCCCCCGCCACACTTTCTAAACATTCTCAGCAGTGCCCAGTCCCACGTCCTTCCTCAGCAACGGGAGTCTCCGCCGCCTGGCTGGGCTGGTCTCTTCCGTCACATAGTGACCAGCCACTGCTCAGAACCCCCCTTTTTGTGCTCGGCGTCTGTGGGGGTAGGAGGGGCAGAGGGGATGCTGGGCCTCACCAGCTCCTCCAGCTTGAAGATCAGAGAGAAGATCAAGATGAAGAGGACGGCTGAGGATTTGGTCATTGTGTACCTGGAAGCGAAGATCAGAATCACCGGGATGCGATGCGAGGCTGGAGCCCGGGGCTCAGACCCACGTGGAGAGAGGAGCTCACAGCACTGGGGAGGGCACAGGGGGAGGAGGGGCGGAGCTTCCCGACTTCCCTGAGGGCAACTGGCTCTGCTCCGGGGAGCAGTGCAATTGGGCACAAAAGCCGGCAGAAGGTGGCCTGAGTCACCTGGGCTGGAACATGACCTTTAATTGAAAGAAATCTCTAGGAAGCCTCTCATTATCGCCAGGGAGAACAGGCTGCAGCTCTGACAAGGAGCTCACCAGGCTTATTATTACCTACCTCCCCTCCCCCGATGGAGATGGGGTGGGGGAGGGAAAAAGGGTGAGAGGAGGAGGCTGCGCTCCAAGGCACAGACTCGGAAGTGAGAAGTCGCTGTCCCACCGCCCTGCACGTGGCTGTGCACAGCGCCCACCACCAGGCCCTGTCTCCCGAGCCACACCTGCGCCCACGCTGGCTGAGTCCTGGCCTCCCCAACCGCCTGGCAGGCACCGCGTGCCCTGTGTGCCCAGCTTAAGGGAGAGGCTGGCGAGTTTCTGGAGAGCTGCTGGGTGTCAGGGAGCAGCGGCCAGAGGAGGGCCAGTCCCAGAGACTGGGGCCTGGCTTGTCGGTCGGGTGTGCGCCCAGCCAGCTGGACGGCCCGAGAACCCGGGCGTGCGGGGGAGGGGCGGGGCGTGCTGCCACTCACAGTGAGACGGTGATGTAGAGGAAGCTCCAGTTGGACAAGCCCACGTCAAGTGCCGTTGCCAGTGCTGTGGAGACAAGGGGGCGCCCAGGGGACCGTGGGGGAGAAAGGGCATGGGGTGTGGGGACACCAGTTATGAGAGCACGGCCATGAGGCACCTGAGTGTGTCCCGTATGGCCCTGCTCACCCCGGCTTTCTACGGGGGCCCACAGGCCTTCCTTTCCACCCAGCGATGAAATGGTGAACTCCTGGCCCCGGCCGGTGAGGTCCGGGGGTGCAGCTGGAGCGTGGTTGTGTGGCGAACCCGGAGGTCCGGGCGAGGGTTCAGGCCACGTCCCTAGGCTGCTCTTTCGGTCCCCAGCAGGGGCTCATACGAGAGGCAGCCGACTGAAGTTTCTCTCTCATTGATGTTTTTCTCCCTCTTTCTCCCTCCCTCCCCCGCTCTCTAAAAATCAATGAGCATGTCCTCAGGGGAGGATTAGAAAGTATAAGAAGAAAAATTAACTCCCGGCCAAAAGCAAGGGGGAAGGGCTGCTCGGTGTCCAGGCTGCGGTCCTCTGACTGGCCGAGGCCTGTGTTGTCCCACCCGCCCACTATCTTGAATGACTCCCCCATGACAGGCGTCAATCTGACCCTGAGAACCTGGCCCTCGAGGACCAGACCCCCTCCTCCCCATCATTTCTCCCATGACCTCTCACCAAGGCCGAGTTCTCAGCATCCTGAGACACTTTCAGGCTCTCTTTACGACCTTCACACACACCCAACCTCTCCCTCCCAGGACCAGCAGGCCCCGCTCACCCTCCAGGCCTCGGCCAACTCAGCCCTTGTCTGGGGAACCCGCCCAGCCCAGCGCCCAGCCCAGCCCAGCCCAGCCCTGCTTGGCTTGCTTCCCCTCTGCTCAGCTCCACGGTGGCAGGGACTGTGCGCTCTGCCCAGCACTAGCTCCGGGAACACAGCTCAGTGCGCGTGTTCAAGGGCAAGGGAACGACAAGGCCACTGCTGCACTGGGGCTTCCCCTGGGGGCGCAACGGGGAGTGTGTCGGAGGCAGAAGTGAGGGCAGGGAGGGCAGGCAGAGAGGGTGGGGGCACACGGGGTGAGCCAGGGAAAGAGGGCCTCGCTTCACACCTCTTGAAGGCTTCCTTTCGCTCCTGGCCTTTGGCTTCCAGAGTAGCAACCCCCCGCCCCCCCCACCGCACAGCCACCTGCCGGGCCCTCCCCACAGACACACCTGTCGGAGCCACTCTTCTGAGGTAGTCGGGCCAGCTCAGCACCACGCGGGCCCTGTGGCTGGAGCACTGGACCAGCGCCCGGGACAGCGCGGAGAACAGGAAGATCACGGCCAGGTGCAGCATCGTCATGAAGAGGGGGAAGTGGAAGCTCTGCAGGGCCCAAGGCACAGCCGGTCCGGGCGCGGCTCGCACAGCCGGCCCTCACCTGGCACCCTCCCCGCTCCCTGCACCGGCCTCTACCTGGTGGCCCTGGGGCGACTTCTGTGCTTCCTGAGGACTTGTACCTACATTCCCATCAAGAGAGACTTGGCCCAATTTTGGAGGCCACACAGACAACAGGTGAAGAATAGGGCTCTGTGTGAGCTCGGTGCTGTCCCTGCCCCTTCAGCCACCTGTCAGCTACCTGCTTGCGGCCCACCCCAGGTAACCGCCAGTGTGGCCAGGATGGCCGTGCCCATCAGTAGAGCACTGGGGGACCTTGCTCCCCGTTGGCCGGCAGCTACTCGCTGCCTCACCCCCGCAAGTTGCCGCAGCTCATCTCTGTGCACCAGCCCCCTGCCCGCACCCCCCTTTCCCCTGTATCCAGACATTTTATCCAGCCCTAGTGTGGCAGGGCTGGCTGCAGGGCCTGTCTTATCACTAGTGTGACCGGCTTCCAGTCTGACTGGTGGAAGGCCACGCCTTCCTGTGGCTAAATATTAGGGACACTGTGGCCCCAGGCCCCTCCTCCCAGGGCCCCCCACTCCCCTGTCCCTTCCCCCAGCACCACAGGCCTTCCTCTGAGTTACCTTCGTCAGCCATTTGTTGTAGAAGGTGATGCCGATGGAGAAGCAGTAGTAGAGAAGGACCAGCCCCAGAGTCAGCACCGCCTTCCACACAAAGGCCACGTCCAGGGCCCACCTCCCCATCCGTGGAAGTGGCAACCCCCAGCCGGGGTTGGTGGGGGCAGGCACCTCTCCTGAGGACGGGCTGCAGGAAGCGCCACTCGGCCTGGGCCACGACTTTCAGCGAGAACGTCGCCTGCTTGGAGCTCTCTTCACCCCCATGATTCAGGGCGGTTCTCGGAGCCCCAGGCGGAGCCTCACCCGAGGGGCTGGGGGCCCGGGCCGAACCTCGCCATGGTTAACCGTCTGCAGGGCTCCTGGGGCCCCAGGTCGGGGGCTAGAAGGATGGAAAGTCAGCTCTGGTGGCCTGGGCCGAGTGAAGGCCACCGGCCCACCAGCCCCGAGCCTGTCCCGCAGGGAGCCTGTCCCGTGCAAGGAGTGGACCAGAGCGGACTGGGCGCCGGGGAGGAGCCCGGCCCCAGCACAGGTGCACGGAGCAGAGCGCCCTGCCACATCCGCCATCTCGCCGCCTCAAGCTGTCCTCCATGAATCGCTACCAGAGGGACCTTTTTAAAGCGTGAATCTGATCGTGTCAGACCACTGCTTAAAGCCCTTTCCGTGGTTTCCACTGCTCTTGAGATACAGATCAAAACCCTTCCTGTGGCTGAAAGGGCCCGACCGGTGCCCCCCCCCCCCCGCCCCGCCCCGGCTCCGCCCCAGCCCTGGTGCCCTGGGCCCGCCAGGCAGGCTCCTTCCTGCTGCCTCCGGGAGCCTGCCGCTCTGGCCCCGACCCCCGACTTCCTCGGCTGACCCACTGGGCTCCACCTCGAATGCTGCTTCCTCGGCCCCGCGCCCCCCACCACGTGGGACGGATGCTCTCGCAGCTCCCCTGTGGTTCCTTGGTCGGACTTGTGCAGGGCGGGAAAACTGGAGTGACATCAGTGTCCCCTGGGCGGCTCCCCACGTCCCCGCTGGCCTCACCCCTTTCTCCGCCCCCAGCCCCCCGAGAGCTCTGCGGTCTCCGCACAGGGATGCCTCACTGCGAGACAGCGGGCCTGTGGGTTTCGGGGGCTAATCTGGTCTCTCGGGAGTTAAAAACGGCCCAGGAAACCCACACCTGCCTGGCCCCAGCCACTGGCGACCACTCTCACGGACGAGGAGCCTGCTTCGGTTGGTGCCAAACCAAGCCCCTCCCTGGCCCCCCATCACCCAGCCAACCCCGGGGAGTGCCCAGAGCATGCCAGGCCTCAGGGAGACCTGGTGGGCCCCCCCAGTCTAGCATTGTCCCACCTACTACTTCATCTGTGCCCCTCCTCCTCAGTCTCCTCCTCTGAGATGGCCCCACCCTGCTGGAATGCCACCTCCTCGAGGCCCTCCTAGCACCACGGGATCAGGCCTACCCCAGCTGCCCCTCCCCGGTCCTCTCGGAAGGGACAGTTGACGTTGGTGCTGTACTCTGGAACCTGGGTCATCATTTCTCCTCCCCCACGGCCAACGGGGAGCTGGCGCAAGGTTTATGTCCCAAAGGACACCCTAGGGCTCTGGTTCTCTTCAGGGGAACTTTGGAGACCCATGGTGGTGGCGTGGGGGGCACCCCTCGCTTTCAGTGGGCAGGGACTGTGAGGGGGACAGTCCACGTGACCCAGAATTGTCCTGCGTCCTGTGTGACTTCGAGATTTCTGAAGGTGAAAGATTCCCTCTGGTTCCCCGAACCCAGAAGCCGACTCCGGTTCACCGGTAACACAGAGCAGCTCCTCCCACGGCTCTCCCAGGCGCTGACGTTTCCGAGAACACGTCTACCGTGTCCGCCAGGGGGATGTGGAACTGTTCTTGATAAAACGGGCGCCACGGGCTTCCCGTCTGGAGAAGCCCCGGCATGCAGGGCATTGGGCAGCTGCCAGCCTGGCTGGCTGGCTGCACGGGGGCGGGGCCCTGCCCTCCCAGAGGTTCCGCAGGGGCGGGGAGAGCCTGCCCTGCCTGCTTCATTGCGGCTTCCAGCACCCTGTGCCCGGGAACTCACATATGGAAACACTTCACTACGATGGCTTCCTTTTATTCCTCTTTTACCTTATGGTGAGGGCACAGCCAACTTTTATAAAGTATGTGTAGGCAGTTTTTTTGAACCACAGGTTTCATCTTAAGGTAAGAAGGGGGCAAAGCTGTTAACGAAATATTTGTCATTAGCCCTGGCTGGCATAGCTCAGTGGATTGAGTGCAGGCTGCGAACCAAAGTATCGCAGGTTCGATTCCCAGCCAGGGCACATGCCAGGGTTGCAGGCCACGGCCCCCAGCAACCGCATTCATGTTCTCTATCTCCCTCCCTTCCCTCTCTAAAAATAAATACATAAATCTTTTTAAAAAAGAAAGAAGTGGAGAAAAGTAATAATTTAAAAATATACGTTTGTCATTAAGAGGGTGTTGCCTCCATGACGCTGACAACCACTGTGCTGTTCTGCCTAAGGTGGGAGCATCCCGTGAATGCCTTCCAGAGCTGACCACCCCGTCGGACGCCGAACACCCAGCTGCCTACTTCTCTCTGCGCGCGGACGGCACACATCGGGCGCCTCACGCCCGGCCTGTCCGGGACGGACTGCTGTGCTCCAGGACTCGCCGGCCCTCGGTCCGAACCTGCTCCTCTTCCCATCTCGGCCAGCGGGGCCGCCGTTCATTCTCACGGTCACTCAGGCCACTAACTGTGCTCTCATCCTCGATTCCTCTTTTCCCCTCAGCCCACAGATTTCAGTCAACAGATACCGTCAGCTCTATCTCCCCGAAATATCCCAAATGTGATCACATCTCCTGGCCTCCACCGCCACCATCCGGGCCACCACGCCTGCTCTCCCGCACACGACGCACCAGTCATCCACACGGTTCTCTCTGCACGCGCCCCCCCCCCTGCAGTCAGCATCTGGCTATCGCAGCTGGGGTGGCGTCTAACAGACCTCGAGGCCCACGCTCTGGCCTCCAGACCGGGCTTCGCTGCCGTGGCATTGCTGGCACTGGAGCCAGACACCGCTGTGTGGGGACGAGGCCTGCCCTGTGCCGCATTGAGCAGCACTTCTGGTCTCTACCCAGTGGATGCCTGTAGCACCCCTCCCCTCATCCCAATAACGACAAACAAGAATGTCCCCAGACTCTGCCCCATGTCACCTGGGGGCAAAACTGCTCCCTGCAGAGGACTGCTAACACGGCACGGGTGACCGCAGGGCGTGCCGGCACTGGGAGATCTTCCTTCCAGCATTCACTCCCCGTGGCTCCTACCCACGGCTTCCAGGCTGGGACAGTCTGAACCCTTCGTACCTTCTGCTTCTGCTGCTGCTCCTCTGCCCTCTGCCCCCGACCCCCCCGCCCTGTCCAAGTCCTGCCCTTCCTTCAAAGGCCCAGTCCAAGTCTCCCACCTCGAGGAAGTGCCCACGACTGACTCAGCCCCCAGGGAGCACTGTCTCAAAGTTAACACTCCTTCTCCTTCCCTTATTATCACTTGGAAGGTCGCCTCACTCCAACACAAAACCAGACCTCGGCTAATAGGGCTCTGGGAAATCATCTAGCCACTCACCCATCGTGCCCTTATTAGGCACTCCTGCACTCCTGTGTAACATTGGAGATAGAGACCCTAACTGATAAGGTCCCCACCCTTATTTCATGATAAGGGAAGCCAGCCTCAAAGGAGCAAGTGCTCTTTTTCAAATCTCACTGGCCCTGGAAAGGAATCCCACGCTCCACCCTGCCTTCCTCAGGGGGCAGCCAGCTCGGAGCAGCTGCCATTGCCTGGCGCATCACCAGGGCACCCGGCTCCCCTAGATCACCCCAAGTGCGACGTGGGCTGTGCGGCTTAGTGCTCAGAAGGGTGGGCCTGGGGTGGGAAGCCCTGGGATCGAGCCATGGCTCCCCTACTCACCCTACTTCGTGACCCTAAGCCATCTGACTTCCGACCTCAGTCTCCTCACCTGCGAAGGAGGATGATGAATCAGGGGCCTCCTGGGAGGGAAGTCAGGGGCATCAGGTAAAGCCTGTGATGCTGCCTGACGGCAGGGTGTTACGCCCCTCCTGGTCCCCTTAGAGTGACACTTCCCCGGCCTGTCTCCACTGAGTCACCACGCCGTCCTCCTTGTTGCCCCTTCAAGGGCCAAGTGGCTGGTCTCATCAGCATCTTAAACATCTGACCTCTTCCCCTTCCCGGGAAAACCTCTTGGATGCCACACCATATGCTCTAGGAGGTCTTCTGCTTTTCTGGACTCTTTCTCGGTCCATGCAACGTGTAACCACTGGGTGCCTGAGGGTTGGACCCTGGCCTCTCTTATCTTAAATCTCACCTTGCGTAATCTCAGCCCAGCTGACGGACAGGCCCGTGGTGTCTAAGTTCCTTATATCAGCTCTAACCTTTCCTGCGAGCTCCAGGCTAGTACCTCTACCTTGAACCCAGAACTCTTCGATTCCTTGACTCCTGCCCCCAACATCATTAGTAAATGCCAGCATAACACATCTGGCCACGTCAGCCTAAACCCCCAAATCAATGCCTGTTTCCCTCTTCCCCCAAATCCTGTCCCGTCAGGGCCATCCCAACAAATTCCTTCACTCATCTGCGCTCTTCGCCACTACTCCGCCATCACAGCCGAAGCCACGAGTACCTTCCACGTACTGACTGCAACAGTTTCTTAAGTGGTGTCCCTGCACCCCGCCCCCCCAAGTGGTTCCAGCACGGAAAGCAGACCATCAGCCATTTCGCGAATCACAACTCCTCAGAAGGCCCACCAGGGCCCATCACCTGGCCGCGGCGGGCATCTGCGACCTCGTTCTCCCGCCACTCCCCCGGCACTCGGCACTCGGCACCCAGCACCCAGCACCCAGCGCGCGGGCCCTGGCGGTCTGTCCAACGGAGCAGGCCTGCGTCCTTCGCACCTGCTGTTCCTCTCCTACAACACGGTTCCGCAGACCTTGGCGTGGCCGAACTCTCCTCGCCGGCCCTCTCCTCATCCTCGTGGCACCTCCCACCACCTGATGTTTTCTCGTTTGCTCACGAGATCACTGTCGGCTCCCCACTCCCACCCCACCGCAGGATGCAGCCTCTCCGCGGGCAGAACCCTGCAGCCGTGATTCCCGTCTGGGTCGAGAGGGCTCGGGAAATACCCGGGGCAGCGCGCGCGGAAGACTGCCGAGGGGGGCGCGTGGAGGCCCGGGCCCCCTCCACGGCGGGGCGAGAACCCAGGCGCGCCCCACACCGCGGCGCGTAGAGCCCGGCCGGGCGCCGGCTTCCGAGGGCGCCCGGGGTCCAGCCGCGCTCCCACTCACCTCGGCTGCGGGTGCTCCGGCCGGGATCCTCCAGCCGGAAGTGCAAGGCCCAGAGCTGCGCGCTCGGGAGGAGCATTTCCGCCAGGAGCCGCTGGGGGCGGGGCCAGCCGCCCGCGGGGGCGGGGCGAGGTGTGGAGGTGGGTTCCCTGTTTACTGTGTCCCGCGACCCCGCGTCCGGCGCCCTCCGCGGGGAGCAGGCCTTGAGCTCAGCGCTGGGCACCCCCTCGGGCTGTAGGCGTTTGTTTCCCACCTGCGCTCAGTCGGGCCTCATTCTGGAGCCGGTGTCTGCTGCAGAGCCCCGTGCACCGCGGGGACCCAGAAAATAGTCACCTATTTACTTCTATTGAACGAATTGTTTACCTTATTCCAAGCCAGTGCTGGGCAACCATGGAAAAAAACAGAGATAAATCTCTCATGGGCTTTTTCTTCTGGTTGCTCAAGCCGGCTGGGGAGTGCTCAGTTAGGGCATTACATTCCAGGATTTAGAAGATCCACGGGAGGTAGTAAATAATAAACATTTATGAGCCATTTTCTATGTCCCTGAAACTTTGTAAGAATGATCTCAATTTCAATAGGTCGCACAAGGGGAGAGCGCCTGTCTCAGAGGAAACAGGAGGAAAGAATAAAAACCATGGCTGGGAAAGTAGCCAAGGGGCAGGATGCAGTGGTCCCAAAATGCCACCTAGGGAGCTTAGGTTTTGCTCATGTTGCAGGATGGATTAAAAGAGGCAGAGCCAGCAGTCAGGGAGATCCATGTGGAGGCCAGGGCAGGCCAGGGTTGCAGATGGAGGACCACTTTGAGGCTTTTTGTTCCCCTCCCACCCCGACCTGGCTCTCTTAAGACTGGCTGCAAATGCGGATCCCTGCAAGTGACTTAGCTAGGCTCCCTGGCCCCTCTCAATGGAAGGTTCAAGGCCAGAGTGTAAGCAGTTCATTATGCAAACTGCTGCTCCCCGCTCCCCCGCCAGCAGCAGCTGGCATTTCACAGGCATTAGTTCGTTCTGCACTTACCCATCACTTACAATAGCACCCATCGCTGCCCAAGGTCTCAGTCCTCAAGGCCTGTACTGCGTGCACTTTCTATGCCTTTTGAAAGAGCTTGTCCTTGCCCCATCTCTCTGAGGCAAGAGAGAGTATCTATTTCCATCATGGCCCTCATTCAAGCCTCCCAGCTACCAAGGCTGAGGTTTGCAGTGACAGCCTAAGACACCAGCTGGAAGGCTGAGCACTAAGCACGGCGACACAAAGGGTGAAGAGCGTGTCTTCTTTGTAAGGTACAAGTACTCGCGCTGTTCCCCGGCTGTGTCCCTGGCAGGAGGAAGAGGGAGGACGTGTTCACAGGGGTGTGCAGTATGCCTTTCCCTGAAGTACCCAGCAGGCCCGAGCACAGAGCACTTTGTCCGGATGTGACATCTGTAAGCAGGTGTGTGTGTGTGTGTGTGTGTGTGTGTGTGTGGTAGAGGCGGGCTGGTTGAGGAAGAGAAAGCAGCTCTCGGGAGGGGGCTGAGGACTCCAGCTGGAGCTCTCCAAAGTCTTCCGGGCACAATGCAATGAAGGCGTGTCAAGGTTAAAGTTCCCTTTGGCAGGAAGCCAGGAACAGAGGAAGAGCTGTTAGTAGGAGCCGCGGTTTGTACATGAAAGAGTATTTATTGAAAACATGGTTACTAACAGGAAGCTCCTGGCTGCTCGCAGGCTGTACAGTCTTGGCTCACAACTGGAAGTGTTACTATTTTTTTTTTTTTGCCTCCAATTTTATTTCCCCTCAAACATTCCATCCTAGGATAGGTAGAGCTTATATATAAATATATATACACGTCTGTATAAGTATGGCCTATAGTAAAGAAAATATATAGTACACTCTTCATTGGGTAGGACCTACCATGCCAGGCTACCAATACTGAATGCCGGGTTGACGTACGTCCAAGGAGAGAGGCTGTGCGTGTGGTTTACAAGTGCAGCAGCACCAAGGATGCCCCGTTGGCACAGCTGTGGCCTCGGCCAGCGCCCTGAAATCATGGCCCAAGGGAGGAACCACAGCGCTGGGATGGGGAGGGAGGGAAGGCCAACTTCCTGAAGTCTGGAAGGCCAAAGGAAAGCCACCTGGAAGGGGACACACTTCAGGTTCACTGGGAGATCTCTCCCAGAGGAAGGGACGATGGAAGTGTGGGGGGAGGGGAGTGGAATCGAGAGACCTCACCCGCCTAGGCCCAGGCTCATCTGGGCTCTTCCCACAGAGTTCCTTGAGAGTCAGAGGGTGGGACTCAGCCCTCCTGACTCTGACTCACCAAGATGACAGACTGGGAGCTTGTAGGTAGAAATCACCATCTGCCCAGACAACTGCGTGGGCGAGAGAGGTCTGGCGGCTCTGGAGGACAGAGCTTTGGAGCCGCAGCTCAGCCTCAGCCTTAGCAGCAGCAGCAGCCTGCAGGCCCCGTGTGAGGCCACAGTGAGCCCTCACAAAGACAACGCAAGCACAGGCAAGGCCTCTGCTTAGGTCTGGCACAGGCACGGGCCAGCCAAAGGCAGCCTCCCCAAGGCTCGCAGCATGCCCAGCATGTCGGTCCTCCGTAGGCAGCTCTTGCCCACACGGTGAGACAGCTGACCACCGGAGATCAGGCTCAGGAAGAAAAGGTGAGTGGCTTCTGTGAAATCCAGCTCAAGAAGCAGTTTCTCGGCCCGAAGGGCAAGGGCCTCTGCCGCTCATTCCTCACGGCCCAGACACAGGCTCCACGGTGGCGGGGAAGCCAGAGCACCTGCCTTCACGACTCACAGGAGACGGGGACCTGGAGGCAGCTCTTGGTGGTCTGAGGTGGGTTTGAGGAACGGTTGGCATGTACTGGCCACCACGGTCACTACAGATTCTGTACAAGCAAAGGACAAGGCACCAGACTGTGAGTGTTTCTTCTGGGCCCCAAATCCCTCCCTGGGCACTGGCGCCTGTGGCTCCAGGCTCAGCTGTAGTGATAGACGAAGTCGTAGCTGCTGGGCTCCTTGGGCACCGGCGGGGGCGCTTCGGGAATCTGGATGTTCTCCAGGTCCAGGAGCCGCAGCTTCATCTCCATGCTCAGCAGCGTGTCCAGGTCGCTCTTCGTCAGCTCGCTGGACATGTCCTTCCCCAGGAGGGCGCTGAGGCCGTCAATCCAGATGCAGTACTAGGGACAGCGAGTTGCACAGCATCACAAGGCGGCCCCTGGTCAGCAGGAGGGCCCGCCGAGGTCCCTGTCCTAGCGCTCACACCGGTCTGTTCTGGCACTACTCAGGGACGCAGTCTGATTCGGGATAACAGCGAAGGGAAGCTGGGGGCCGATCACTCACTTTCTCAGAAGACCTTTTGGTTTTTCTGACGGATTGACATTTAAGCTCCCAAAGATATTATAAAGTATGACTTTTAAAAATGCTACTGAAGAATGCAGCAGCACAAGGAGACCTGAGCACCCAGGCACCAGGTTTCTGAAACTGCCCCTGAAATCAGTGATGGGGGAAGGGAGAACACACAGTAGGGGAGACAGTGGGACACGAGAGGAACCACTGGGGACCTCAAACAAAGTAAACTAAAGGACACCCAGTCAATAAATGTGGGCATCATGTACTAGAGAAATGAAACTGGAGGGTCTCAGGAGAGCAGGGACTTCTCGGCCCATCCCTCCCTAACCTGCTCCGCCTTTTCCCCCTGTGCCTTTTCTCACCTGCCTCCCCTCCTGCTAGTGCTTCACTCCCCTCCCCCCTGCCCAGTGAACCCCCACCGCAGCCCAGGCCCTGCCTGAGTGTGCCTTCCTCCAGAAGCCCCGCCTCTTGTTTCCTCTGATGGCTCTCAGAGCTCCCCAGGCACGAAGGGTTTCAACCGCAGTGAGTCAGGCAGCGTCTGGGGTCTTCCGTGCTGCCGACGAAACTGCAAGCCTGCGTCACCAGCAGGGCCGAGCCATCCGGCTTCAAAGCCCAGGCCAGATCTACCCCATTTGGCAGGAGCCCCGAGGCGGGGGTCTGTCGGGTTCGCCGGGGTAGGCGGCCACACAGGAACGGAAAAGAGAAAAATTTTCCTACTCCCAGGCAAGCAAGTCATTCCTAGCTGGCCCACCTTCCTAAGACCCCTCCAGCTGCAGCTGAAGGGTGACCCGAAAGGCCAGGCGTTCCTGTCCTGCCCATTCCTCGCCTCCCACTGAGGAACCATGGGGGGGTCGGCTGAGCACGGCAGCGCCACGCCGCTCACCTCGTACTTATTAGGTGCGATGAAGTTCAGGGTCTCGTCAGGGTCGTACAGGATGGAGAAGGCCAATTCCAACACCTCCTGCGGGAGAACGGTTTCAGTTAGTTGGGGCAATGGCCTGGCCCGGGCTTTGCACACGGAGATGTTGGCCCGAGTCCGAGGAAACCTGGCACCACCGCCGAATGTGCTGGTTCAGGTGTGACGCCATCAAAGCCCCAGGGCGCGCGCGCAAGAGCAGCTGGAGACGAGGCCCACTGGTGACGACGGATCCACCTTACCTCGCCCACCCCCACCCAGTCACGTCTGAGATGCGGCGATACTTTTAGGATCGTAGAAAAGTCATTCCTCAGTCCTCAAGAGCTCCTGAACATCAGAGTCTTAAGTAAGTATCTTGGTAATTAAACTGAAGGGTCTTAACAGTTTAAAGCCGCAACAATGAAAACAAACTGTGGCCAAAGATGGGAACATTTGGGCACGGACAATGTAACTGTCATGGGCTGAAACTGGTCTGATTTGCTTATTAAATCCAGAGTCCATAAAAATACTAAAAACCAAACGAAACACGTATACAAAGTGGGTCACTGTTGGATGATGCCAGGGAACTACCTCTTTGTTTTTAAAGAAGGTGCAGAACAGGAAAGAATCCAGCATTTACCCCCCTCTCTTACATAAACCGCACCACTGGCAAGCTAACAACAGGTGACGGCGAGTTTCTCTTCAGAGAAGCAGTTCAGCTAATGAATGGAAAGGACAGGCGGCATGGGAACACCATGAGTCAGCAAGCCGGAGTTCGCTACCAGCAGGAGGCGCTGTGCAGCCAGCGCTCCGACTGCATGTACGTGACTCCTGATCGAACATAACACCATCCAGGAAGGAGTCTTATCAACAACAACAACAAAAAAAACCAGGTCAAACCCGAAGTGGATCGGGCCCCTAGATCTCTCCACCAGTTACAGATCTGGGACAGAGGAACAAGTTCAACTGCACCATGGGGAGGCAATCAGCACATTTCAGACCCCGAGAAACTACCAAACAAGCAACCTGGTTTCTTCAACTAATAAACTGCAAAGAGAAAAAAAAAAAAAGACGAAAACGACGGATGGGGACCTCACGAACTAAGCAACTCAGAGAATAATCACAGAGTGTAGCCCTCATTCAGACTCTGACTTCGCAGACACAACGGCAGCGAGCGTATGTGTATTCATGTGTACAGACATATAAACATGCACATATTTATAGAGAAGTTATGTTATTTATATGATAATTGGTGAAAATGCAAACGTCAATGGAACAGTTGGCGTTAACTTTTCATTTCTTTTCAGGTGTGATGACGGTGGTGTGATTACGCTGAAGGAGCCCTCATCACCTAGAGACTGTAGAGATTTACAGGTGAACTGGTGTAGCCCTGAGGCCTTCTTCAAAGCGGTGAGGGAGAGAGGGGGATGCGCAGAACTCGCCGTAGCCGTGGGGGCTGGGTGACACGTACACGGGAGGTCTGTCCACCTCTGTGTGCGTCAGAACTGTTGGTAGTGAAGTGCTCAGGAGCAGCTTGGGGCGAGACCACGCACCTAAAGCCGCCGCCACCGGCTGTGCCCCGGAGTCACCGCAGCGGCAGCGGTGCAGACCCGGGCCTGCCTCTCCACTCACCTTGTTCTGTTTCAGGGCGCTCTTCTCCTTCATGTGGGGGCAGTCCTTCCCGGTGACGATGGCCTTAATGTCTGCAACGGGAACTGTTACACAGAGGGAATCAGTCTCTGGAAGCTTCGTGCCACAGGCTGGTCCTCGGTTCGGGTCTAGAGGGGAAGCCCCCGCCCCTAGACGCGGAGGGCTGTATCGGCTCAGGGAGTGTGGCCTTCTCCTGTCCCCTCCTCTGTGGCCACTTCCCATGGGCCACGGCCTGCCGGGCTGTGTCCAATCTGACTGGAGGGCAGTTCAGGGCTTTTGGACTGCCTCCCCAAGGCGTGGGGCCTCCGACACCTGCCTCGCTTTCACGTCACTATGATGACAATGACAATGACAATGCCACCACAGCAAAGAGCAGTGGCGACAGCTAACGGTTCTGCCTGCTACCTGCTTGCTGCGGGTCCCAAGTGCTTTCCCCACACTACTGCTTCACGCCTCTTCTCAGGGAGGCGTGGCTGTCATTCTGAGAGAAGAAACCACGGCAGAAGGGAGAATGAACTTGCAATCAATTAGAATTAATTGAATTAGGAGCAAAGCCAGGGTGTGAATAACCACCCCCTCTCAACCTGGTTTTGTGTCACCCCTGCAGTGTCAGCAGCCAGCCCCCCTCCTGCGGTCTCACCAGCTCCCCAGACAGCCCTGGGAGGCGGGCCGCAGAGCGCGACCCCTGCCAGCGAGGAAACGGGTCTGGGGAGAACTGGCCCAAGACCAGGTCATCGGTTTGAGACAGCCAGGACTGGAGCTACCCTGACATAGAGCCCAGCTACAAGGACACAGCGACAGGGAGATGAACCTACTTTTCTCCTGCAGGGACTCAAACGTCACCTCCCCCTGCGGGTTGTCATCCAAATCGCCGTAGTGCAGGACCTTGTGGTTCAGCGCCAGGCGGCAGTACCAGAAGCGTTCTGGAACACAAGGGACGCACGCAGGGCAGGTGAGTGGGGATGGTTGTGGGGAAGGCCCAGGCCCCCAAAGGGCCAAGGATGCCCTGTGCCCTGCCTGCTCCCCGCAGGGTCCGCCCCAGCAGGGTCCCTCCCCCGGCAGTGACTCCGGGCGGCAAGGACCAGCCCAGGGCGCCGGCCCCCCTCACCTTGGCCCCCCTCACCTTGCCTTCGGCGGTTCCCAATCTTCCGGAAGCTGCTGCCCTCACAGAGCCGGTTCAGGCGCTGCTGCTTGATCAGCTCCAGGATCTCGGGCTGGATCTTCTCCCTCAGCTCCCTGAGTGGGGGGAGGGGGATGGAGTAGGGGAGACATGCACCAAGGTGAGGAGAAGGCCCCCGGTGAAGATTCGGAAGGAAGGCAGGGCTGGGGCTGCCTCCCCCAAGCCCGCCCCGCTCTGGGAGGGCACTCACACAATCGGCGGGGACTGGAAGTCGTCCTGACTCATCCTCTCGGACTGGCGCAGCCTCAGGATCTCAGAGTAGCTCAGGCTGCGCAGTTTGCTCTTGAACTGATCCAAGGAGTTGGGTTTGGAAGGCAGTGCACGCGTGATTTGCTCTCGGACCACCTGCATGACCTGCGGCGGAGGAGGGAGACGCCCCTTCGCTCCCGCTCTTACGCAGGCGGCTGCCTCTGGGGCCCCGGGGCTCGGCCCGAGGGCCTTGAGCATGGCAGGCACCACAGACCTGTGCTGGGGGTGCAGGGGACCCCATGCGAGGGAGGGCACACCTCCTCAGACGGTTATTGAGGACAAGGGACTGGTGGTGACAAATGCTTTATTTCTCACAAATGTCAACCAGTCAAGGGTGTGGAATGAGCAAAGGTGTCTGGAGTCAGAGATAAATGGGTTCAGATGCTGACTCTGTCCCTGAATCTGTTCCTTGAACAAGTCAAGTAACATCCTCCGGCTCCCGCCTCCTCTTTGAAGGGAGAGACAGACACTCAGACATGAGCTGCTGGAAGGACCAGCAGACGCTCTGTGGAGGCACGGTGCCCGGCACACCACAGTGTGTCCCTAAAATGTGTCGCTTCCCTAAAACAAGGGAAAAGCCGGCCATCACCCCACGCATCCGGCCAGCTCTCCACCAGAGAAGGAAAAATAGACAGAGAAAAAGGACTACGGGGAAGCACAAAAATGATCATCGCTGGGTGGTGGAATTATGGAAAACCTCTTCCTCTTTGCACCTCCAACGAGAGGAGCAGGCTCCAAACGCTGGAGTCCCGGATGACCAGCTGCTGGGGGGCCTCGCGGGCCCCACAGAGGGGGCGCTCAGAAAGCATCGGGGAACCACTTCTGAGTGGTTCCCACGGCCTGCGTATCACGCCAATCCACTCTGACCTCTCCCCTGACGTTTCCGCTTCACGAAAGGCATCAACGGTCAGCCGACCGCAGCTGCTACTGTTGTGCTCACCCTCCTGTCCCCTAAGGAAGACAGGAGGGGCAGGACACCTGCTCCAGGTGACAGAGGAAGCACAGCCAGAGGGCAGCGAGGCTTCGCTGCCTCAGTGCCTATGACTCAGCGCTGCAGACCAAGCTGGTTTCCCAGCTCAGGGACTTCCCTGGCACTGGCCAGCTGTCCCTGACTGTCATGTGATGGTCCCAGCCCGTGGGCCTCGGCGCTCTGCGACACTGACCTTGTTGAAGTCCTCAGCCGTTGCCCTCATCTCCTTCCAGGTCTTGTTCAGTAGCTGGATGCAGATCCCAAAGAGCTCCTCAAAGGCCCGGTCGTGGGTGAAGAACATTGGGTGGTAGTCGTTGCGCCCTTCGTTTGCTGCGGAAGAAAAGGGGCGGGGCACGGGTGAGCTGGGAGCTCTCCTCCAGGACCTTGGGATCCTCTGCACCGAGTCCCGAGGAGTGAAACCAGAGCGAGGACCGGGGCTAATGAGGAGTGTGCCTGGGCCGTTCTCCACTTCCGGAGCCTTCTCCCCCAGGGCACGTTCCCTCGGTCCGCCTCCACCCTGTGGCAGAGGCAGCTAGTCCTTACACACGAGAGTGAGGGGACGGCGGTGCAGCTCTCGAACATGTTCACATCCCCAGCTTGAACAAGGCCGTAGCCCATTAACAAGGATAACAGGGATTCCAGCCCCTCAGTGACTGAGGATGCCCAGCCCCACTGACCCCAACTTCATGACCTCGGGCCTCTCCCGGCCCCCGACTCGAAGGGCTGGCTGAGGGCGCGGGGCTGCTGCGAGGACTTACGCAGTTCCCCGACCTGCAGGATTTCACAGAGCATCTTGGTAAGCTCGATGGCACTGCGGCCAAAGGGGCACTCGTGTTTGTCTTCGCGACTGCTGTTCTCCAGGACAATCTGTGGGGGCCAGAGGGGAGGGAGTGAGGGAGTGAGGGAGGGGAGGTGAAGGAGTCCCGAGAGGTGGCACCGGGGCTGAGAAAGCAGGCCCCCAGCCTTTACCCGGATGTAGGTATCCTGGTGGACTTTGGCCAAGTACAGCATGTTGTCCAGGGCCAGCATTCCGGGAGGAGTCTGCGTGAAGTCCATTGCCGGGTTGATGTGGTTCTGGAGGAACAGAGACCGAACTGGAGACTCGGGAGTCTCCTGCGAGCGGCGCCACCGAGGGGAAGCCCCGCTGCCCCTCCCCCGAGTGCTGCCAGCACTGCAAACCTACCTCTGTCCAGCCCTTTCATGCCCCATCCCTACCTGGAGGCTGCACCCTGACCACTGGGCTGGGGCTGACTCACCCTGTACCCCCAGCGCATGGCATGCTGCTGGGTGCTGAGGAGGTGCACGTAAGTATTTAACCCAAGTAACTCCACCCTCAGGCTGTATCCTATTACAAAATATCCATGCCAGCTTTTCAAAGAACCTCGCTGCTGTGGTGAGAGGTGCCTTAGGTCCCCTCTCCGTCCCTTTGGCTGCGCTCCTGGGCCTGCCTACGGATGCCTTTGTTTCACAGGCCTGATGTGGACATGAACTTGGGAACCTGCCATCCCAGAGGCAAACCAAGCGTCAAGGCCCTCCAGCTTCTTAGTGCCATCTATTCCAGGGCCACCAGTGTGAAGTGGGGGTGTCCCGGGCTCTGGCTGGGTGGGCCCTCTGGCTTCCCGCCAGGGGGAAGGCCTGCTAGGTCCGCGCTTTGGGAAACTTACGGTAAACCCCAGCATTTTGTAGTCCTTCGTGTACATGGCTTTGCGCTTCTCAGTCCCACTCCCGGGGACAGTGCTGGAGTCGGACTCTGCGTCAAACGCGATCCTCCTCAGTTCGAATATGATGTCCCGCTGAGCCTGAGAGGTGCAACAGGCAGTCGGCAGGGCAGCCCGCTAACCGAGGGGAGCCAGGAGAAGGGGGAGGGGGCTGGGCTTGCGCAGAGCTCTGGCCCTGATGGACCTCCGAAGAGGCATCACCTCTGCCTTAGCGGGAGCAGACGGGCTCGGCCCCAGGGTGCACCAGCGGGAAGAGGTCTCGGTGGGGCCGCGGCTAGCTCTCTCGGAGCAGACACAACGGGTTCTGCACAGCGCGGGCGCTCAGCACACAGACTGAGGGTGGCGTGAGCCACGCCCAGCAGCACACAGTTTAGGGCAGGAAAGCTCTACCCCACCTGGCACCTACCTGGTCGTTGGGGTCCATCTTGGTCATCATCCTTTCTTCTAGAAGGTTAAAGGTCAGGACTTGCAGGACATACAGCTGATGGGCCATCTCGGTTTTGATTGGGCGGTTCCCTCGGATCACATGCTAGGAAAAGCAAAGGCAGGGAGCAGGGGGCTGAGCTGATTTTCTCTCACTGAAGAGCCACATCCGTGGAAAAGAGAGTACACTGGGCAGGGGGCAGGGCTCCCCTCCCACACACAGGGACATCATGTTGGGGGGGGGGAGCAGAAACGGGCTCCGTCCCGGCAGAGGTAACTCATTACAGGACCAAAGGGCACCGTCCTCTCCTCTGCACCCCGCTGGACAGGGGAAGTGGACTGACGGGTGGAGGCTACACCTGGCTACCCCGACGAGGAGGGAGGCTACCCCCTAAGGTTATGATACTGGAGATGAGCGGCTGGAGCTACTCCAACAGGTAAGATATTGACGACTGCAATCAGTAAGGGATCACTAGTCTCAATGCGGACTAGCCGCATTTCAAGTGTTCCACAGCATCATGTGGCTAGTGGCTGCCAAACCGGACCGCGAAGGGCTAGAGATTGATTACGCGAACCAAGACAACAGCTAGTGTGACAGAGAAAGATTTGCTTGTAGAACTGGGCAGTCCCGTTCTTTTGTTTTCCCGAGACAGACAGAATGTTTTAGATGCCCTCGCCAAGGAGAGGGGCTTTAGAAAACATCATTTTCTTTAAATGACACAGAGACGACTGCGCACAGGAGAGTCCACCACTCCTCGCCCAGCCCCTCACTGCACCCTCTCTCCTTCCTCCTCCACGCTTGGCCCCTCCTTCTCCGCGCTTGGCCCCTCCTTCTCTCACGTCAGCGTGCGCCCCCTCCCCCCTCCAACTCCGCCCCGCCCACACTCCCGTCTGCCTCCCCTCTCAGCCCACCACCCTGCCCCTCCGATGCCCACCCCTCTCCTATTCTCTAGCGCTGTCTCTGCTGTTTCCTTGCCCACTGCGTCGCCCGCCGTCCCTCGGGCTGGTCAGAGCTGGGTGCCGTTCTTGTCTCACGCGGCGCGTTCTCACGCCCACGAGGCTGCTCCTTCCCGCGTGCTCCCCCGCACGCCCAGCTCCCCACTCCGTCTCCCTGCCATCTCGAACCCTGTCACTCTTGGCCTCCTCTTGCCCAGACGAGACTCTGCCCAGTCTCCCACACGAACCGCCCGTGTCCTTCGTGGTCTTTTCCTCAGCCTGGCTGTGTCCCTAGGCCTGTGCTGTCCACTATGCCAGCCACGGGCCCCACGCGGCTCTCTGTGTTTAAGTCGCTTGCAATTCATTTCAGCCGAAACTCCAGGTCCTTGGCAGCACTGGCCGCATTTTAAGCTCACCAGGCACAGGTGGCAGGTGGCTGCCACCGATGACAGGGCGGATACGGAACACTGTCGTTACCACAGAAAGTTCTAGCAGGCAGCTCCGCTCTAGACCTTCTAACTCGGGGTCGGTGTCTTTTCCCAGCCCCCTCTAACTTCAGAGCAGCTCTCGCTAGGACCCGCTCTGGCTCGAGATCAAGCCCGTCAGACCTGTGCGGTCCAACCTGGTGGTCCCTAGCCACGTGTGGCTGCTGAACATCTGAAATGTAGCCAAGCTGAGATGTGCTGTGACAAATGCTCACCAGACCTCAGAGCCTTCGTACGAAAAACAAAATGTACAGTATCTCATTAATGATTTTTTCTATTGATTATGCATTGAAATCATAGTATTTTGGTTATATTGGGTTAAATGAAATTTTATTAGTTTTTTTCTTATATTGATTTCTTTTAATGGAGGAAGAGAGGGAGAGAAACATCAATGTGGGAGAAATATCAATTGGCTGCCTCTTGCATGCGCCGACTGGGAAGTGAACCTGCGACCTTTCGGTTTGCAGATGACGCGCAACTGACTGAGCCACACTGGCCAGGGCTCCAGTGTTTCTTTTTAATGTTGCTGCCGGGACAGGTAAAATACACAAGTGGTTCCTGTTTCATTTCCTGGAGACTAGACCGCGTCTCTCCCCACTGACGCCGGAGTGCGTTTCCCTTCCGTCTCTTTCTTTCTCGCTCTGTGCCACCCAAACAGTAGCTACCAGCCACGTGTGGGCATTTAATTTTCAACCGAACATTTTTAATAATGACAAATTAAGTTCCCAGTCAGACTAGATGCATCTCAACCGCCACACGTGGCTGGTGGCTACCACTGTGGACAGCACTTCCAGAGCGGCGGCGGCAACTCCGACCGGACAAAACTGCTCTGCTTTCCCTACAGGGTGTGCTCAGCCCCCCGCCCTCCCTCTGTGCCCTCTCTGGCTCCCTCTGCCCTGTGCACTCCCTCTGTCTCTCCAGCGAGAGGTCACCCCTCTCCGCTCCGCTGCAGCGTCTGTCTCCATCTCTCCAGACTGCCTTTTCCCTCCGCTCTGCTCCTGCTGCCCTCTTAGCCCCCCTTCCTCGCTGCACCCGGACACTCCTGCCCAGGCTCTTTTCTCCGCCACTGCCCGGCTGTCCTCCCCTCACCTCTTCTCTGCCCCACTCCGAGCCGCCTCCTTTCTCTGTGTCCCCTCCTCTGCTGCTCCGCTTCCTCCCTGCCCGTCTATCCCTCCTCCTTCCTCCTCGCCGCTCCAGAAGTCATCAAACCACTTTAGAGAGGCTTTCAAGTTCATGTGACGTTGGTCACTCGCTTTAACCCCCCTTTCTCAGACACACCACAGGGGAAAGGTAACCGCCATCGCCCTCAACGGCTTAAAGAAGTTCAGCTCCAGTCAGGTGGGTGGGCTGTCGTCTCGGGGGTCTTAGCCAGCGTCTTGTTTGACTGTCAGACACCTCGAGGCCTACGTTCTTTGGCTTGATGCAGCTGAACTCCTGGGCTGAAGGGAGCTTGCATTAAGCATTTCCTAGGGGACTATTTAAGTCCCGAGCCCTGACACGGAACTGTCTTCTGTACCAGAATTTTAGCCTTGACACAAGGTTTGTCCAGGAATGAGCTGAACTTCTAACCCCATTCAAGTAAATAATAAGCCTCAAACTTCATTAAGTTTCCCCGAGGGGCACCCTCCCCCACCCCCACCCCCCACCCCACAGAGGGCGGCTGCTCAGGAATGTGGACAAGGATGCGGGGGAAGCCGTGTGCTCTCTGCCACTCACGGGGCAGAGTGCTTGAGCGTCAGCTGAGGCTCCTCCTCCCGGGCGGGCCATGGGGCTGTGACCAGAGAAGTGGCCAGCAGGCAAGGGCCGGCTCTGTGCAGGGAGGCCTGACAGGCTCTGCCTATTTAGAGCAGCCGACCGCTGGATTCATACTCAGAGCTCACTGCTTGAATTCCGCCACCTTTGCACCTGGTTCACACAGAACCGCCAATGCGAGCACAGCGCTGACCACGAGCCAGGCCCTGGCCTAGCACTGAATGCATATTAGCTCATTTAGCCTCCGTCTGGAGGAGCAACTGGAAGGCCACAGAAGTTAAGTGCATTGCACAAGATCAAAGACTGGCTAATGGCAGAGTGGGGGTTAGTTCATGGACAGAATTACTGAACTTTTCACACTTGACTCCAAATTTCTCCCATTATTCCCTGCACTGTGGCCTCCCAGCTCTCCCTAGCTTCTGACAGCTGATAAAATGGCCTCCTTTTAACCCACACCCTCGGCTCTCTTTCCCAGCTCCCGCTGTCCCCCCTCTGCTCCCTCCCACCCCAAATCACCACCCTGGCGACGAGGAAGGAGACCTCTCTCCAGATGCCCCCCACCCCTCACCACCCCTGCTCCGCTCTCCTCCCTCGAGCACTACTCAGGAAGCATGCAGACCTCGGAGTGGGATCCTCCTGAAATATGAGTCCGGTTATTTCACGACCCCGATGAAACCCCCTCACCTGCCCGTGGGAAGGAGACGAAGATCCTCCTTGATCTGGTCTTTGCCACCTCTGCGGTCCTCCCAGAAACCCCCCTGCTTCCCCCTCTACCTACACACCCCGTCAGGTTCTGGCCCACCCTCCCGAAATCCCTTTCTTCTTGGTCTGCTGACTCGTCCTCAGCCCCACCTGAAGCTGTTCCTCTGAAGGCTTCCTGACACCTCCCTTCCACTCAGGACTCACTGCCCCCCCTCTGAAATCTCCCGGCCTCGAGCTTCTGCGGAACCTGACCACGTGGTGCTGTGGCCACTGGTCTCCCTACAGGGCACTGTCTCACTCACCCCTGCCGGCACAGCTCGGGTTCATACCCGGTGTTACTTCAATGAGCTGCTTTCCTTCTGTGTGCCTATTTCAACATACTCCCCCAGAAAAAAAAAATTTGGATTTGCAGGACAATGAGCAATTCCTGGGGGGCCAGTCGGCCTCCTGGAGGGAGCTCCCCAAAACGCTTTTCACTTTAAGAAGTGTTTAGTGCCTGTTGGTGAGTTCCCTCTGAGTGTCCTCCCTGCAGAACAGTAACTCCAATGATAACAATACAACTATATAGTAGTAACAATTGTTACTTATAGTAACAAAGCAATAGTAACAAAATACAGTTGTTCCGGACACTTACATTCAGGATGATGGACCGGAGGTGCTTCTGTGCGAAAGCATTGGCCATGTCCTGTTGAGAAAAACAAGCAAACGTCAGGCAAGGCGGCAGGCACAGAGCTGTTGGCAACTATCAAGAGGAAGGAGATGTCATAGCTCAGGGGCTTTTTCTTTTACATTTTTATTCCTTTCAAACCAAAAGTAGACAAATAGAAAAAAGTCCACGAACCATCCAGTGGATTTCACACTCTAACAAATGCCCTCACACTTTTCTGTGGGAGTGCAAATTCACACAGTAGGGTTTCCCCTCCCAGAGGCACGATCGACCCCATCGTCTTCAGAGAGGGACGAAGAAGACTGCGTGCAGCAGGACGAGACACGGTGGCACAAGGACGGACGCCGGGCGACGGACAACGCACACGGAGCACAGAGCAGCGTGATGGCCCCAGCCGCACCCACTGGTCACGGGTCCAGGCAGACCCCCAACTGCCCGGGCTGCAAGGCGCTCTGATGAGACGCCAACTCCAGACCCCCAGACGGAGGACAGGGCTCCGGCCCCACCCCTCCGACCCCCAGGGCCTCACCAGCAGAGGGAGCCGGGCGAGGCGGCTCCAGCCCAGCGAGCAGTGCCCAGCCCACTCCTGACTGCCCTAGAGAACGCGCTGGGTGCTTTGGGGTCATTGTTCATCACAGGGTCACTTTAAAAACTGTGTTTGGTTCCGATTTTAACAGGAACACTTTATTTATTTAACACACTCAGGAAAGTATCCTACTTAAGTGAATCTTCCAGGGGGTGAAGCTTTAAGGGTCCTTTCGGAACCATTACTTTGGCCATTCTTATGCAAATCTTCTAAAAATACATTATGTACATGCCTTTATTTCGGAAGAGACCGCAGTGATTACCATTTAATCACTGCCAAGGCCTTGGCTTCATCAAAACGACCATCATTTATCCTTCTGGGCCGTGACACTGATACCCTGGAGGAGCTGCTGAAATGTGAAGCTCTTTTCCCCCAAACAAACTGCTCCCAGATTACCACGCTTTTAATTTTTCTGACAGCTTTTCATAATTCTTTGGACTCTGCCTTCCAGTGTCAGCCATCACTTCTTATAATGTTAATTAGTATGACTTCACTTTCGGAACCGCTGCCTTCATTTAATTTGCCGAGGACTCCAAGTCCATCGGCCCGAGGCAGCTGCCACACATCTCCCACGGGCAAGGACCCACGCACGAGTCCTGTCCCTTTCTCTCTCTCACGTCTGGACTTCTGGCCCCAGTCCAAGTGGCCGCTGCTGCCAGGGACACCGAGTTTCACTCTGCCTGCCCAGAGCACACGCCGACTGGAGGAGGAGGAGGAGGAGGCTGGCCCAGAAACTCCTCTGGTAGCTACAGGTCGGCCTGAGGTTCAGTCTTGCTGCGGACCACGAACAAAGTGGCCACCACAGCGGTCTGCTGCTGGAGTATAAAGGCCTCAGACCTTTAAAGGCTTCTTTGTGGGGCTGACGGGGGTTGGGGGGAAGCTCTCATCTTCTTTCAGACCCTCGCAGGGCGGCCTCTCTCTAAGCTCCCTCTCACGGGAAATGAGCGTCCAACTTCCCTCTTGTCAACTGTCTACGCCTTTTCGAATCCAGCGGTCCGGTCAGTGTCCAACAAGGAGTGGCTTCACCTTTACACCATGCCGTATCGGGCTGGGAGGTGATACGTCAGGGCACCACTCAGATGAAAGCCACGGGCTGTTTCTGAACCTGATCTTCCCGGGCTGACCCACAGACATGGCCACGTAAGGGCAAGTTACGGAGGGAGGACTGGGCCACGTTCCCCGGGACAGGCTCCGCCTCAGTCCTCCACGTGACTCTGGTCTGCGCTGCAGCCTCCGGTGTCATGTCGGACAAAGGAGAGTTGCAGCACAGGACCTGCCCTGTGTCTCGAGTTCCCTGAGCGTCAGAGCAGACGGGAGACTCTGGCCCAGCTGTGCTCGCCCCACCGGGACGAGAGCGGGGCCCCTCCCACACAGCGGTGCTACTTACAGTGACAGGCAGGTCTAGCGGATTAAGGTGCTTGTCCTGCCGGCAGAAAGCAAAAAGCACAGAGAGAAGCAGATGGAAGAATGAGCTGTCGGCTTACATTCAGAACAGGACCAGGAGGGGAGCCATGAACGGGGCAAAGCCATCCAAGACAGACAGACAGACAGAACCACAGACGCTCCCCCGGTCCTCCCACTAGAGTCCTCCAAGAGCTTGGCACGTGGTTCCCCGTGAATTTCACCTGACCGAGCCCAGGGCACTGACGGACCACCCAAAAGCCTTTCTTTCGTACACAACTGAGGCTTTTCCAAGAGAAACATAGGAAGTTAGTGTTGGAAGGGCCCTTAGAGATCTTTTAATCTGGCCCCTTCATTGGACGGAAAGACAAACAGACCCCGAGAGGTCAACGCAGGTGCCCAGCGGGCGGCAGGAAGCGGACTCAACCGCAGAGCCCTGGACTCCGAGGCCAGTGCTCCTTCGCCTGCCCAGCTCATTCCCGATGTCCTCCCTCGTAAAACAGCGGTCTGGCTGGCCTCCCGACACCCTTACGAAGTAAACGAGGCAGGTGTGGTTGCTGCCACGTTCCAGGTGAGGAAACCGGGGTTCAGAGAAGTGCGGCCATGTGCACAGTGTCACACGGCTAACGCCGAGGGGAAGGAGGAGGCTTAGAACCCGGACCGGAGGGTCTCTATACACGGAACTTCGGGCGGAGTCCCTCTGCTCTTTCCCGTTTGTCTCGCCCTCCTGGCACTCAACAGGGATGCCCAGAGGGTCTCCTCTCCCTTCCCCATTCTCTGACCAAGGGGCTCGCAAACTAAGGCCAAATTTAGGCTTGTTGACTGTTTGTGTAAATAAGGTCTCATGGGAAGAACCCACGCTCATTCGCTTACCTGCCTGGGGACGCTTTTGGCCACAACGGCAAGGTTACGTAGGTGCCACATGGACCTTGTGGCCCACAAAGCGAGAAACATTTACTCTCTGGCCCGTGAGAAGAGCAAGCTCGCAGGCTCCTGCTCCAGCCCAAGCCCCTGGCTGGTTTCCCGGCTGGTCCTCCCCGGGGCCTTCCCCCGCAGAGCCGCTCCGGTGGGCTCGGCCCACAGAGGGGCAGGAGGGGGGACTCGGGAGAATGGCGGGCTTTCTGCTCTCTGCAGGGCCAAGGGCGGGCGGGTGAGAATTCCTCTCTGGGAGGAGCCCAGGTGAAAAGCCTGAAAAGGCAGCCACAGACCTGTCTCTTGTCCTCGGGGGCCTTCAGGAAAAGCGCGTTGATCAGGGCGATGGCGTAGGTCTGGATTTCCTGGTTGGAGCTGTGCCCGCGGAGAGAGAAGGCAGAAGAGACGAGAAGAGTGACCGGCCAGCTGACGCTTAGAGATGGTTCACGGCACCAGTCATGGACGACACTCAAGTAATAACCTGAGGCCAAGCCTCAGAAGCCTTAAAACCGTTCACTCAACAGAGGCTAACGAGCTTCTTAAATCTGAGCAGGGGACACAGGAATGACTGGCCCCCGCTCCCAGAGAGCTCCGTTTAAAATGGGACACAGATAATCAGAAATAGAGCGTTTTGTGTAAATGTAATCATCATAGGTACAGACAGAGACTACTTGGCCCAGAGACAGGAGAGCAGCAAATTCTGTCTGGTATCGCGATGGTACAGGAGGAATGGAAAAAACTTCGCTTTACCCCAAGGGGCAAGGAGAGTTGCAGGGCATTTTACGCCGGGGCAGGGCATCATCGGGTCTGCATCACGAGCATCATGAGAGGGAGCTGGTGCAGTGCGGAAGAATGGTGGGTGCGTGAGCACGCAGACCAGCGGCGTGGAATGCCGGCGAGGAAGCAGGAGGGGGGCTGGAAGGCTCAGCAGAGTGAGCGGGGAGCAGGGCCGGGGAGGAAGGCGGGGGCGGGGTCTCTTACTCACACCTGCAGGTGAGAGATGAGCTGTCCCACGGTGATTTCCTCTGCTATCTTCTGGTACAGACTCTGGCTGTTCAGGACCATGCTCTCCAGGATGGCCAGGGACCTCTGGAGGATGGACACGTCCACCATGGGCTGGCTCACGTACCCCGCGATCTAAAGGCAGACAGGAGCAGACCGGTTGGGCAGCGCAGGGCCTGTGGGAGCCGGCCGGCTGAGGTCCCCGACGCCAGCCCGCGACGGCTCTCTCCTCTCAGGCCCGCAGCCCACCCTGGGGCAACAGCCCCTGGGTCGGGAGTGGTATCTGGCTTATGGCTACTCTGGCCCAGGTGCCTGGGATTCCCTAGGCAGGGATAACTCAATTTCAAAGTGCGGTATCCAGGCAACTGTGTTTCCTCAAAATCTAAGGGCTTCATCCTTTGTTTTCAAAACAGGATTCAGGGGGGACAAAGCTGACTGTTGACAGCAGAGGACCTCACTGACAGACACCGGGGTTCCATGCACCTCTGGGTGCCCTCCTCCCAACGTGCGCCGGGTTCCTGCGCACGTGCAGACTGGCAGAGCCCGGGGAGGCAGAGAGGACGTGCACAGTCTCGCCATCTGACCCCACTTCTCAGTCCCCATGATCGTATCCTGACACGTGCCGGGTCCCTTTTGCCGAAACAGCTCTGGCACCAGGACCCTCCCCAAGTCCCAAGCCAACAACAATAGGTGTAATTCTATGTCAGGACATAGTATTCACTGGTGTTTGTTCAGTCTCCTGAACCGACACTGTCCCTTCTCGTGGAAGAAAGGAGGGCCAGACTAGAAGTCTCCACTCCCACCGACTGAGTCTCATCCGACAGCCCGAACAGGCTCCCGGCACACTTGTCAACAGAAGGCACACTTGTAAACACAGGGCAGATGCTATGAACACTTCTCATCAGAGAGAAGAGAAGGAGGAGTCAGGAGGCAGGTCAGGAGATCTGGGGATGGCACTGGGTGATGGCCAGTGCTGCTCTGGCCCGAGTCGGCTCTGACAGCCCAGTTCCAGTTCTCCGGGCAGGCCCCGAGGGCACCGGAGAGCAGGTCTATTCCGAGCCCCAGGACGGCCAGAGCTGGAGCATGCAAACTCCGGGCCCGGGGACAGAGAGCTGCACGCAGTGCCTCGGCGCCACCGTAGCCTGGAGAGCAGCTGGCGGCGGAAGGAGGAGAGAGAGACGGAGTGTGGGAGGCCTCACCTGCTTAATGAAGGTGATGGACACCATGTCCCAGGAGACAATGCCATGGTCCATGAGCTCTAAGAAGGCAGTCAGGGTGAATGCCAGCATCTCACTGTAGCTGAGACATGCGCAAAACACACACACAGTAACACAAAGATTGAAAACTGGGAACAGGTGGGAAGGCGGTCACGACGGGAGGGATGTCAACGAGAGCACCCCACGGGCCATCAGGCGACGCGACCAGGAGTCAGCGCCCGCGCGCCCACCGAGGCAGGCGGGGAGCAGACTCGGCCCAGGCACCTGTCACGGTCGACACGAGGCTGCTGCGTGACCAGGCCTTCCTTCTCCGCACTGCCCCCTCTCAGGAGACAGAATCACCTAACCGCTGCCGAGAACAAGGAGGATGCCGGGCCTTGGTCGAACCTGACACTTCTGCAGAGGTGCTAAGGAAGCTTGTGTCCCGTCAGGCCTAGAGGCGGCGCAGTGCAGGAGGGCGAGCACAGACTTTGGACATGGGTTCAGTTTCTGCTCAGCTGTTTACTGACTGGGCAAGTTTTATCTTCTCAAACCTCAACTTCTTCCTCTGTAAACTCACGTTAATCTCACGGGGTGTCGGGGGGAGCAAGGTGACAATGTATGCAAAGCTCTTAGCATCAAGCTGATGGGGAGTGAGGATGAAAATGTTTTCTCTCCTCTGTCTCTCCTCTTTATACATTAAACCCCTTCATTTCTGCAGTGTGCACTATACTTAAACTCTATTCCCGTGTACAAAGCATGTTCGGATCCATTTGCATTAACAGTGCTCCTCATGACAATACTGCAAGTAGGTATTATCCCCACTTTAAAGGGGTGGGAACGAAGGCCCCCCTAATCCTGCACTCTCGGGAGACTGCAGAACTCTGGGGCCAACGCTGATGACGGCGAGAGCTTTAGGATTTCCTAGGACTTAAACAAATACCCGTGATTAGTTGCTTGGTTTGGCTGAAAATTTCAATAGCGGATCCGCCGGCTGAAAGATTTCTGACTCCCCGTCTGCCAGCTTAGGCCCCAGAGGCTCGGAAGGCAGACTAAACATCTGTTTATTCACTGCTGATCATGACAACGCACGGCTTCTCCCCCCACATTCATCTCAGCACTGGGGCAGTGGAAAGACGGTAGTGGTGCACCACAAAGCTCTGGATCCCCTCCCCTCTGTGAAAACGGACAGCGGGGAGGCAGCGAATGGGTAGGGGGCGGCCTGTGGTAAACACAGAGGAAGGCCTGTGTGTGTGCATGTGGGGTGGGGGTGCGTGGAGAGGGAGGGAGGCAGGGGGAGGTCAAGAACAGACAGACACCTGTGCTAGTCGGTAACGGACCGTCTGCTCGCTGACCTCCACCAGGCCAATCACCTTCCACAGACGTCCAGGTCTGTCACGCACTGACCTCCCTGCCTGAGTTCTGCGGCTCCTATTTTCACGATGTACCCGGCACGGTGCTGCTTTGCGTGGGAGCCCAGCTAGACGGTAAGGTTCGGGACCACAGTGATGACCCTCTGTGTCCCTCTGTGCACGCTCCAGGGCTCGGCACGCTGCCCTGAGTGCAGGCGGCGCTCCAGGAGCTCGTTCGACTCAATGGGCACGAGAGTCGGACGCTCTGCGGAGAGCAGCGTGCCCCCCCGAAAGCCGCACATGAGACCCCGGTAACACTCACTGGGACAAGAGCTTGGTTCCACTCTCCACAAGCCGCGTGAGCACCACGATGCCGTCCATGTTGATGAACTCGGTGGCGAAGGTCACGTCCGCAGAGAGCTTGGCCAGCTCCTTCATGGCGTCTAGCCGGGTCTCCATGTTGGACGACTGGGTCCTGTCCATCAGCTGCCGCGCGGCCCGGGACTGCGAGGGCAGGAACAAGACACATGCCGTCTGCTCTGTGGCGGGGGGAACCGCTTTGCGGACAGCTTTGAGGGGCCACTCTGGGAACTTCCAAGCCTGGGACAGAACTAGTTTTTGCACTGCTTAGGAGCTGCTTAGGAAATGTTTTCTGGATCAATCAGGAATTGCCAATGTGCCAAGGCCAACTCTATGACAGTATCTGTATCCTTCCTGTGTCACTCTGGTCTATGGATTAAAAAACTCCCACCAAGGGATTACACAGTGACCCAGGAGATGACAGTCTACTAACTACAGCAAATCACAGAGAAACAGGTCCCAGGTCCACGTAGGGCAGTTTTCCATTCATTAAAGCCGTCAGACCGTGGCAGTGGTTATCTCTGGAAGTAATGAGCTCCCCATCACTGGAAGCAGTCAAGGGGAATCTAGAAAACCATCTGTCAAAGATGCTACAGAAGGGATGCCTGCACTGGGTGGAGAATTTAATCTGATGACCCTGAAGATCCCTTGCAACCTGAAAATGTGCTAAGCCCCACAATTTATTTTTTTTTAACTTTCTCTCAAAGTCTGTGTCATTGCTCCTCAAAGAAGTAGTCCTGGAGAAACGTCAAGAATATCAAAGAACGGGAAGTAGCTCATTTCAAAATGGCTTTTTGACGATGAGGACTGGCGACGAAGACCCTCGGAGCTCGGGAATTTCCCTGGCGGGATGCCCCCCCCCCCCCGCCAAGTTCCGGTTACAGTCCCTCCCCCAGTCAGTGATCGCTGGTCTTTCCGAACGTGTCAGCGTTACAGTCAGTGCCTCGCAATCGACCACTGCACCATTCTCTACCGCTGGCGTGTCCGTTCCACGTCCCCAGCCGCAATGGGGAGGCTTGGGGGTCAACCGCTTCTGCGGTTTTTATTTCTTCTTTCAGAGCCGAGCGAGTGACTGGCAGCCGGGCCCGCTGCCGGCCCAGGAGTCGGGCCTGTCCGCCTCGCTCCCCCTCGCCTCTCCTCGGACGCTCCAGACGGCCCGCGACAGCACAGTGCTCTCCGAGGTACGGAAACCCTCCAAGACCTCCCCGGAGGAGAACGCGTCCGGAGAAAACAACCAGGAGGAAAAGCAACAACCGGAGAGAACAGTCTGAGGAGCACTGGCCTGCATCGCACTAGGGAACCTCTGGCTCAAATGTCAATGTCCCTGCGGAGACAGCGTTTCTGGGTGGCTGCCCCCCGCTCCGGAGAGACGTGCCCCCGGGAAAGCCGGCCGCTCCAAGGGGGAGGCCCGCAAAATGCTGCTCCTGTGACAGCGAGTGCCTGCCGGACGGTCACGCTGAATGAGCAGAGCTGAGGGGGAACAGCGAAGCCCCTACGTTGAGCTCCGGAGACAGGGACGCAGGACGTGACGGCAAGAAGACTGGCCCAGGGTCAGGCGGACCGGGGCGGGAGCACCGACGCTGCCACGACTTTGGCGGGTGGTGAGTCGTTCCGCCTCCTCGAGTCTCGGTCTCCTCGTCTGCCACGCAGGGCTGTCAGGGGTGCCCACCTCATCGGGTGTGGGTCAGGGCGAACGGATCCGACACAATCAAAGTGTTCAACGCAAACACAGGCGTCCGGGAAGCGCTGGCTGTCGCTCCCTTCCTCACAGTCAAACCAGTCTCGCTGGCCAAGAAAATAGGCGCCACCATGCCCTTCACCGGCCGGCCGCCCTTCTGCAGGCGCACCTCGGCTCTGCCTGCGCCGGCTCTCCTCTTCCAGGGCCCAGCAGCCGGGGCGCACCCCTCCGCCTGGGCTCTGGGCTCCTGGGTCCTGACCCCGGGGGGCCCTGCTCCGTGTACTGCCCCCCCTTCCCGCACTGTCAGCCCGCCTCTCGTCCATCCTAACGTGTGTTCAAGGACACACAAAGAACTGCAACACGTTCACAAGGGTCCGAGGAGGCGAGGAGCTGGGGAGATGAGGATGGGACTGGGACGGAGACCTCTCACTGCACCTTTGTCAAAATCTGGTTTCTGAAGCACTCGGATAAAGCACGCCTTCTACGGTCTCCATCTTACTTCCTCTTACAGCCGAGCTTCTTGGTAATGTGGTAAGCTCGGGGTTCTCACTTTTTCACTGCTTTCCACCCCCAGCAACCCGGCTCGCCCCCAGAGCGGTTCACAGGAAGCCCGCTCAGCAGCGACCCACGGACTGACTTCCCGCGTGCACAGACGGCCTGTCTGCCCCGGGCTCGCGTGACCTCTGCCCCACGCGGACCACACCTTCCCCGTCTCGGCACTCGGCCTGCCCTCAGAGCACAAGCCTTCCCTCGCTCCGGCTCCTCTGCTCGCCCCTCCGGCGGCTTCCTCGGCTGCCTCTGCAGGCTGCTCTTGCAGAAATCAGGGGTCGCCCCGAAGTCTCCCCTTTCCTTCCACACCCACGGCGTCCCCACGTTCATCCAGCTGACCTCTAAATCTTTCTCACGACCATCCTTTCGTCTCCACTGCCATTTGCCTTCATGGCCTGCTAACATCCCTCACCGGTTTCTTAGAAGATTCTTCCTGCCACCCATCTTCCTCTCCTTGGCCCATCTTTCACCGTATCGCTAAAGTGATCCTTCTGAAATATAAATCTAAACATAATGTTCCTTCCTGCTCAAAACCTTCCCTTCCACGTCCCTTCTAGGTAAGGTCTGAATCCAGAAGCAGGTCACCAGAAACTCCAGGATCTGGCTTGTCACCGACTGCCACAGCCCCTCGGCCACCCGGGACGCCCCTTCCCCAAACAAAGCCCGTGTCTCCGCTTGGAGCACTTTCCATTTTCTTCCCTCTTCAGCTACTCTTGCTCGGCCCTCACTGTCTGAGCTGCGGGCTCCCTTCTCTGGGCAGCCTTCCTGGGCGTCCGCAGGCTGAGTCAGACGGTCCCTGTTCCGAGTCCCTACGGCCCCCCAAGCAACTTTCCGTCAAGACCCTTGAGAAAGGCCATATATTGTACTTGTTTGTCTCCTACCCAGCCAGGCTGTGAGAGCAAAGAATGATTTGTTAATCCCACAGGCTCAGCCCAGGGTGGATGCTTGTTAAATAAATCAAGTCCTACGGCAAGTGGAGCACCTACCGGGGAGACAGCCAGCTGTAAGATTGTCCCATTCTTAATGTCACTGCGAGTCTGGGGAACAGAGAGAAAAAAGAGCAACTAAGATAAAATATTAAAATTGTGTAAGCAAGTTGAACAAGAATTTTCTGCCCTGGCTGGTGTGGCTCAGTGGATTGAGCGCCTGTCTTCGAACCAAAGGGTTGCTGGTTCGACACCCAGTCAGGGCACATGCCTGGGTTGCAGGCCAGGTCCCCAGTGAGGGGCGCAAGAGAAACAACCACACATTGGTCTTTCTCTCCCTCTCTTTCTCCCTCCCCCTCCCTCTCTCTGGAAAATAAAATTAAAATAAAATCTTTAAAAATAAAAGAATTTTCTGTCATTTTTAGAGGGGTTATGACAGACTCCTCAGTCAGGCCCTCTCCCCTGCTGCCTGCTTCTTGGCACAGGCTTCTAAGGCCGTCTTCAAGTGCCCTGGGCTCCCAGGAAGCAAGAGCACGGTGTCGCAGCCAGTGGTGGAGAACAGGGCTGGCGCCCCCGGGGCTGCCCAGGAAGCAGCTCGGTCCCCAGGGAGCGGGAGCTACCCGGATGTAAGTGAGGCGAACAGCGCGGTCTCCCCGGGTCGCTCACTGCAAAGCAAGGCCCGTCCTGACTGGCTGCCCCGGTACAGACCTGCTCAGTGATGTAGAGCTGGGGCCCGTCCGCGTAGCGCAGCGTGTAATACTCCGGGTTTGGCAGCGACCACCTGTGTGGGAGAAAAACAGGACAGCCCGGTGGGTCACCCCTCTGGGCCTTTCTAGAAGCTGCAAATACAGAATTTCGGTAGAGTTGCTCAAGGGATCGGGTGGCATGTTTCATGTTTGGAGGACCAGCGGACAAAAAGCAAAGCTTCAGGTTGAGATATTGGAAAAAATAACCTCCTCCAGGCTACCAGTAACTTTGTGAGATTGGCACCCCCAAAGGAGGCACGCGCAACTCAGCGTGGGCCTCAGGTCCCACTGGGACCTCAGGCAGGGCATGCCTGGGCTTGAAGGAGGAACCAAGGGTTCCCAGAGGCCTGAGGGCACCCTCATTAGCTGCCCCCCCTTCGTAAGACAGCGGTACACAAGAGCCCCATGCTGGGGGCCTGGCCGACTGGAGGGCCTGCGGCGGAAGTGACTCCAGACCTGGCAGCGCCCCTCGGTCTGCAGCCTGCCGCCATGCACGCAGGGAGTTTCGACTTACCCATCGCACACTTCCCTGATGATGGACGCCAGGGGCCGCTTCTGAAACAGAGAGAGAGCGCGCCTTCAACCACAGCCTCCTGGTGCCTGGGTTCTAACGGCGGGCTGCCGCGCAGGGCCGTCCTGGGGCCTGGGCACGGACTCCCTCCCTGAGGGCTCGGGCTGCAGAGGCAGGCAGCTCTCCCAAGCCCTGGTGACCAACCTCCCCCAGGGTGGGACGGGCCTGGCTTTCCTGCTGCTGGTTCTTGCTCCTGACGCCAGTGGTCCCCGTCCCTACAGACAACCTCTGCCATGCTCCTCCCAGATCCCCCTCCTGGCATCGCCGTTTCCCCTTTCAGGAGCTCACCTGGTCGATTTCAAGGAGCTGAGCATTAGCACCCGGCCACTCAATGGCCACTTTGACGATGTCTGATGGTGGTGGCATCGTTCCCAGCGGGCCCTGCTTGTCCAAGACGTGCACACAGACACAGCTGCCTGGGGGGGAAGGATCCGAAAGAAGGAAAAGTCACCGAGTTTGCCTTCACCCTTTACTCTCGTGAGCTATTTCAGAGAACTGAAAGACAGACAGTATCCAAAGGCCGAGCACATGAAACTATTTAGTTTGAACTTTTCTAGATCACACCACAATCTCTCCTTGGGCTTTCTGTCTCTTTAGATTAAATCGCAAGTAGAAATGGGACAAAGCTATCTATCAACTGCAGATCAGCCCCTAGTGAGATCTGCCAGCACGACACTTGGGTGTCAGGAACAGGACTCCGTGGCAGAAGAGCGTATTAACTGCAAACTCCTGCCTTGGGGCCGTGGGAGGGAGGGGTGTGGGCTCTGAGACACAGGACAGCAGACACGGCCTCCCCTCGGTGGAGCAGTCGGCTCAAGGGGCCAGCCTGAGGTGCAGTCAGGCTGGGGGATCTCAGGGCCAGCAGGGCCCGGCCACCTGCTCTCTGGCCTCCTCCCGAGTTCTTGCTAACACTCCTTCCCCCTCAAAGGACACAACGCGGAGCCTCCTCTGTGTGGGACGATGCAGAGTTCAGAAGGCGGGGAAGAGAACGAGAACAGGAAATGCCGTTTCAGTTGCTACTGCCAAGGGTGAGAGGTGCCGAGAGCTTGAGAGAGCTCGAGTGCAGGGAGGTGAGGACAAAGGCCCCTCTGGGGAAGCGCAAGGCTTTGGAAGTACCTCTGACCCCCCTCCCCCACTTCTCTCCAAGATAAAGGAAAATGGATCATTCTGAGCAAGTCTGGAAGGTGGGCCCATGTGACCGATATCCTAGGCAACTCTGCTAGCTCAGCGGTATGCGGAGCAGTAGCTGAAGCATTCTCCCTCCAAGTCCGACGAAGGGAAGTCACTCAACTGATGGATTGTTTCCTGTGCATGTACACTCCTTGCCTGCAGGTTGGGGAGAGGCCTCTCCCCTAATGACAAAGACCTTTTTCTCCTGCCCCCTCCAGGTTCAGCCTTTTGCCCGCAATCCATGCTCCACTGATGGAGAAGGCCCACCTCCCCGAAACGCGGGGCAGAGCTGCTGCTGAGCTGCAGCGCCCCTACCCTATCCATTCTCCGGCCCTAACACAAAGGTCACCTCTCCCGGCCTTGTCAGCACGGGGGAAGGGGATACAAGGGCAGCCCCCTACAAACCAGAAAGAGGGAAGCTTTCACGCCCACCTCCTGATCAGGGCGGGCTGTTTCAGAAGTCAACAGTCAAAAACACAAGCATTTCAGGAACGTAACCACGTGAAAGAGGTGGTTTTCACAGTGCTCCCACTGAGTCTGCGGAATCCTCCAAGCAGCCTTATGAAGGAGACGGAACGGGATTATCACCTCCGGGTGAAGATGACAAAATGAAATTCAGACTTTGGTGAAGCTGCCCGAGGCCCCCCAGCTAGTAAGCAGTAAAGGGGCTAGAACCGGGATCTGACTTTAGCCAACACCCTCCCCTTCCCCCCGGGGGAGCCGGGATCTCTGTTCACTGCAACTATGTCAACCCCCCAGACAGATGGGGGTGGGCTGGCCTGATGGCCCCTGAAGTTGCCCCAACGTCAGCGGCTCCAAGCCGAATTTTTCACGAGTAACTGTCACGTGCCTAGACACACCACAGACACTGGTGCAGAAAGCGGCCCCCCAAGAAAAACTCCGGGTTGGCGTGCTCTGCCAGGTGACGCAGCAAAGCAGCGGAGGATGCAGGAATCTGTGGGCACCAGGGCCGGTGTCCTCACCCTTGTTGGTAAACCCGCCGTAACTGGGGGCATGTCAGTTGTGAGGTGTCCTTTACATATGGTAAAATGCACAGAGCTTTTGTGCGCATATTCCCGCCAGACACATAATGGAAACACACACATCTCCCTGCACCCACCACCCAAAACCGGGCTGCGAACAGTCCCATCACCCCAGACAGCTCCCTCCTACGTCATTTCGGCCACCTTCCGGCCCTCCCAGAGGCGACTTCTCTCTGCCCTCTGTCACTCCCTCGCCTGTTCCTGTCCTGTGCGTACACGGAACTGAACACTACGGCTTCTTGGACCATTCCATATTTAGTGCAGTTCTCCTTGTTTTTGAAAAGAGCAGACAGAACAGGTACAAGAGAAGGCGCAGTGGCTGGGATGATGTGACCCCCTGAAGCTGCAACTGGGCTCAGAGCCGGAGGACTCGGGACCCTGTCCCAGTCCCTTCACTAAGTGTCCGGGCGACTGACGTGTACACGTCACCCAAGTCTCAGTTTCCTTCTCCTGTCACATGTGAGTGTTCAGCTGTGGCATCTCAGATGCCTTCTAAGTCTAAAAGTCCGTGATTCTAAAGTAGAACTTAAAATGCAAATACAGAGTGCCCATTTCAAAGTCTTCGCCCAAAGAAACCACGCCCTTATTTCGATGGTGCTGCTAAGAAACAGATCCTATTTCCCAGGACTCCTTTCTGGATGCTGTCTTTGGAGAGAAACAAGCTCAAGCTCATTAATTCACAGTTCCACTGTACTTTGACCCCATGTGGCATTTCCTAGGCAGACTGGTTCTTTCTTTATTAAATAAGTCAGCCCCGAGTGATTCCTAACTGAGCCCTGAGTGAACCACCAAGACTATTCCAGAGATGCTATAAACCGCACTGTCAGCGACTCTGCCCTTTCCCACAAAGCCCAGGCAGCCCGTGGGAGTCGAGGGACCTCTTCCCGACCGCGCCACAGCTGACGGACGGAAGCGAACACTCAGCCTTAGCTGGACTAGGCTCTTCAAAGTAAAGACACAGACTAGAAGTTGGGTGACAATGGGCCACAGCACAGAAAGGTGTGGCTCAGCTTCAGAGCAGGTACCAGGGCAGGCCAAGGTCATTCGTAAGCCAAAGATACGGAGAAGCAAAAACCAAGAGCCTTGCAGCGGAAGCTGCTCTGCAGAAAGAATCCAGAAATGTGTAGGCGAGCGGAGGCTAGAAACCAGAAACCACCAAGTCCCGGAAGGAGATGGAAGAAGCCACTGCCAGACGACACTCCAGGTTCCACGGCTACGCCTCCTACACCTGCGGCACCTGAAATTCCCCTGCACCGTGCCAACGAAACCCCTTTCAGGCAAACTAGCCTGCTTTTCTGTTCGTTGCAACTGAAACGCCGAAGTCTAAGACTGACCCCAAGCTTTGAAGGAACTCTTTTTTTTTAAGACTTTATTTATTTATTTTTCAGAGAGGGAAGGGAGGGAGAAAGAGAGAGAGAAACATCAATGTGCGGTTGCTGGGGGCCGTGGCCTGCAACCCAGGCATGTGCCCTGACTGGGAATCGAACCTGCGACACTAGGAACTCTTAAGTGGAGGTCTGAACAGACAGCAGCGTCACAGGCGTACGATGATGCATCGAGCAGGCCCTCAATTAACGCCAGCTGAACTGACAAAGAGCAGAGCCCACTCGGGTGAGTCTGGCTCATTTAAAACACAGCAGTTACAGGGTGACTTACAACAATCATCTTGTGTGTAACCAGTTACGTGTAGGTGCCTCTTCGTAGTTGATCGCTCACTTCTACAGCATCATTATAGCGGGCGCTCACGGAACCCTGAAAATCATCCCTGCTTTACAGGTGAGTCCACTGAAGGTCAGGCGGGTTGAGAAACTTGTCTCCCATATGCCTCCACTCCGGACTGGGTCGCAGGGCTAGGTCTCAGGGCCTCAACGCTAGGTCTCTTCCCTCCCTGCAAGGATTCCTCTGATGACACCAGCTAGCAATTACATAGTGCTGTGGCACTGTGCTAAGGGCTCTGCGTGTATTCATTCATTTAATCCACACGGCGGCCCTGTGTGGTATGCCATTTTCCTCACCTGCAGATAAGAAGATGGAGGCACACAAAAGGTAAGTCCCACGCTCAGTGTCACGCAGCTGGGAAGTGGTGCAGCCAGAATTCGAGCCTGGGCAGCCTGGTGTTGCTTAAAAGCCATGTGAGCGCAGGCGACTGTTCCGGGCCCACAGCAGGTGCTCAGGGAGAATTCCGGTTTGCGGTCCGTGAAGCCGGAGCTCACGGAAGCTAAGAGACCCGCACGCAGCAGCTCGCTCTTTGAACAGATGATGGCACTCCACCGTCCAAAGTGTTCAGTTCTTCGCCTTGCCCCCGGACTGCAGGCTCTTTCTGCAAGGTGTCCCTTCATTTCTTCTGTACTTTTGTGACTTCTCTTCTTCCCAGGGACCGTCAAGAGTTCCTATTCAAGCTTCAAAGCCCAGCTCAAATGTGACTTCCTGTCTATACCATTTCTAGCTTTCCCTACCTTTCCTTAGCAAAACAAAACAGGACTTAACCGTCTCTCTCTTCACTGACTCTTCCTCCAGGGCAGGCACACCCCTAGAGTCTCCTGACCTAGCAGAGCACCAGGCACGCGGTTTCGGTTCAGTGTGCGCCGTGTCCGCTCACATGCCCCGGCTCTGACTTCCTCCACACGCATGCACCAGGCTGGCTCTACACGCAGAGGGACTGGTGTGAACTGCCCAACGCTCCCTTCATGTCCCACCACCTCCCAACCACACAGTATTTCCACTGCATAAAGCTCTGTCTTCACGTCTAACATGAGAACGTGTCTCACTGGAACATCAGATTTGGTACCCCCAACTCTGGTTACAAGAAATGGGGAGACATTCCTCTGCCTGTCTCCCTGTGCAAACATCGGCAGGAGGAAGGCCAGAAGTCATGTTCTCCAGACAACCCTCCTGGGCTCAAGGATCTCCTTGTGGGGAGCTCTTCCAGCACTTACTTGCTTGTTCTTTTCATTTTCATTTCAGAAAGGAAGTGGAAACTAGGTGGAAGCAATTCAGTGACATTGCAAACTTCTTGGGGTTACAAATGGCCTCTTGCTCCACCCCTCAGCACGCCTGCGGAGTTCGGCAGCAACAGGGCAAGGGGGCTGCAGCTCCACACCCCGGCCCCTTCCAGATGACACCCCTTCCCGATGACACCCCTCGCCTGCCCACCCCCTTGAAACTGTTCTGGATAGACGGCTGCCTTGGAAAACTCAAACTGA